TTTATGATGTGGGGCACACGAACCGAAAAACCAAAACGAAATAATCAATAGAGAGCTATACAAGAGTTAATTAAATGGATGGATCCATGGATAAGATCTGGCTACGGTTTCAACTGAAAGAAAACAACACCTTCGGCCAGACCGAAGCTCCTCTGAGTTCTGCACCCCTGCAGTGCCTGTCAGTCTGCACTGCACGGGGTCTGTTCGCCCTGGAATGACATTGCTTACCTGATGGCGTTCAATGAGCGCCTCGGCACCGGTAACATCATTGGCCAGCTCATCGGAGGTGACCAGGCTCATCATCGAGTTGATCCAGGCGAGCAGATCGCGATAGTCGCTCAGGAATCGCTGCAGATCGTACGAGTCCAGCAGCTTCTCCTTGCGAGCGGTGGACTTGGTGATGATCTGGTCCCACATCTCGTTGATCTCCTTCTGCTTGGCGTACGTCTGCTCGGCCGTGTCCGGATGCGACTGCATCAGACGATTTGCCGTCTCGTCCAGCTGACGAATCTTGTCACGCAGTGCCGCCAAATCGCGCTCAACGCCCTCGTGCTTGCGCTGCAGGGTCTGCACACTGCGCAGATCCTTGCCCAAATCGTCATTGTTCAGGGCATTGGCCTTCTCAGCGATCCAGTCCTTGGTCTCGTCAATGTCGCGATGGAAGCGCTGCACCTCGTGGGCGGAGCCCAGCTGGCTGGCCTTCTCGGTGGTGAGGGTCTGCAGGTTGTTCCACTTCTCGTTGAGGTCCTGCATCTGGGTCTGAATCTTGAGGGCGGCCTCCGTCTGTCCCAGCGATGTCAGCTGCACGGCAATCTCATTCATATTGGCCAGACGCACTTCATTCGCCTTCAGGTCATCGTTGAAGTCGTCAAACTTCTTCTGCAGCACCTCCACCTCCTCCAGATCCTCTCCAACCACATCGGCAATCTGGGCATGGTTCTCCTTGTCGCGGATCCACTGGGCCAAATCGGCAGCCTCACGCACCAGCACGTACGCCTTCGTTGTCTCGTTCAACTTGTTTTGGCGCTCGCGTGCGAGGGCCAGCAAGTTGTCGTACTGCGAATTGATTTGGTTCTGTCGCTTGGCAATCGAATGATTGTCCACGAGGTTCTGCTGCGAGGCACTGAGCCCGGCCTCGATCTTCTTAATGTAGGCAGCCGGAACGAAACCCTGACGATCGTTGACCTCCACCTTCCACCAGTCCTTGTTGTTGGAGTTGAGGAGAGTGAGGACATCGCCCTTCTTCATGGACACCTCGCGCGGTGACTTCTCCGTGTAGTCGTAGAGAGCCACAACGCACTCCTTGCCAGTGATATCCACCACAGGAGTCTCCTGCTGGCGACAGTTCTTGGCCTGCTCCTGCAGCGCCTGGATGGTGTTGCCAAAGGCCTCCAGATCGGAGACGAGCGCCTCGTGTTTCTTCAGCAGCGCCTCCGAGGAGTCCTCATCCTTGCCGTAATCACTGCCGGTGGCAATCGGCTCCTTCTCGCGCATCCACGACTCGGCCTCGTTGGCATCGGCAAAGTACTGATGCGCCTGCAGCGAGTCATCCAGATCCTGCTTGCGCTGATTGGACCGCTCCCTGAGGTTGTTCCACTGCTCCTGCAGTGCCTCCAATCGCTGCCGGATGTCGTCGCTGGCGAACGGCTGGTCCTTCAGCATATTATCCCCCGAGCTGATGACATTCAGCAGCCTCGCCTCGTGATTGTTAATCTCCGCGAGCACAGCCTGATGCTTCTTAATCAGATTCTGCACTCCAATCAGATCGCGTCCGCGATTGGTCGAGGCTGCAATGGGCTCCTTCTCCCGTATCCAGGCCGCCTCGTCCTCCAGGTCGCGGAACAGCTGCTGCACGTGCAGCGAGTCCGACAGATGCTGCTTGCGCTCGCTCATGGGCGCCGCGAGGGCAGCATAGCGGGCCGACAGATTGCCCTCCTTGTTGCGAATGTTGTCCGCATCAAAGTGGCCCGACTCGATGAACTTATTGGCCGCCACCTTGATGCTCTCGATGCGATCCTGATGGGCCATGACATCGGCCTCGAGCAGGGCGTGCTTCTTCTGTAGGTTCTGCACAGAGGTTAGGTCCTTGCCGTGATCCTCAGACAGCAGCTGGCCCTCAATCTCGCTCAGCCAGAGCTCAATGTCCTCAATGGTGCGATTGAACTGCTGCTGCTGGCAGGCCTCGTTCAGCTTGCATCCCTTCTTGTCGGACGCCTGGACGAGCGTCTCCCACAGCACCACAATCTCCTGCATGCGCGTATTGATCTGATCGGCGGCATAGTGCTGCTTCTCAATCAGCTCAGTGCCCACATTGGTGATGTCCTCGATGCGCGACTTGTTGGCGTTCAGCTCGTGCTCGAAATTCTGATGCTTCTGCATCTTTCCGTTCAGATTGGTGGGGTCCAGGTAGCTGTCGTCGGTGGCAAACTTCAGCTTCTCGCTGATCCAGCCCTTCGTCTCGTCGCAGTCCCGCTCAAACTGCTGGTAGCGATTCGAGTCCTCCAGCAGCTGGCGCCGCTTCGCAGACTTCTCCTGGAGGGCGGCACGGCGCGCCAACAGCATCTGGCGACGCTGGGCCACATCGTCCGCGGCATAGTGCTGGCCATCAATCAGTTTGGTGGCAAAAATGTCCAGGGCCTTGATCTTCTCCTCTTGGGCGGCCAGACTCTTCTCAAAGTCCTCGTGCTTCTTGATCAGCGCCTCCACCGAGTCAAGAGAATCGCCCAGATCCTCATTGGCGAGGAATGCCTCCTGCTTGGCCATCCAGGTGTCTGCCTGCTCTGTGTCGCGGTAGAACAGCTGCAAGTCCATGCACTGCTCGTACAGGATGCGACGATCCTCCCACAGGGACAGCAGCGAACTCTTGTCGTTCTCCAGGGCACCCAGTTTCTCTTGGATCTCGGCGGCAGCGTAGTGCTCCCGCTCCAGCAGCTTCTGGCCCGATTCGGTGGTCAGCTTGAAGCTGTCCTCACGCGCATCGATCTCGCCCTTGTGCTCCTGGTGACGCTCCAACAGGGCCTCGGCCCCAGCCACATCCTTGGCCAGCTCATCGGCCGAGATGATGGCCTTCATGCCGTTGATCCACGACACCAGGTCCCGGAAATCGGCGAGGAATCGATGCAGATAGTACGACTCGTCCAGCTTCTGCTTGCGCTCGCGCGCCTTGGCCGTCAGACTCTGCCAGTAGTTGGCGATCTCCGACTGCTTGTCGCGGATCTGATCACTGTGATCCGCATGGATGGAGCACAGACGCTGCGCCTCAGCGCCCAGTGTGGACACCTTGTCCTCGAGGGCAGCCAAATCACGCTCAACGCCCTCGTGCTTGCGTTGCAGCGCTTGCACGCTGGCCAAGTCGCGGCCATAGTCGTCGGAGGAGAGAACCACATCCTTCTCGGCGATCCAGGCGACAGTCTCGTCGGCATCGCGGTTGAAGCGCTGGATCTCGTGGGCACCGAACAGCTTCTCCTGTCGGACAATGGCCAGCTGCTTGAGCCGCTGCCAGGCCTCGTTGAGCTCCTCCTTGCGCTTGGTGATGGTGTCACGCTCTGGATGGCCATCCTGGATGAGTTTGTCGGCCAGCTGGTTGACCTCGGTCACACGGTACTCCTGCGAGGCCATGTCCTTCTGGAATTCGTCAAACTTGCGCTGCAGCACCTCCACGTGCTCCAAATCCTGACCAAACTCATCGGCCGTGACAAAGGTCTCCTTGTCCTTGATCCAGAACATGACCTCCTCGCACTGGCGCAGGAACTGCACTAGGACAAGCGCCTGCTGCAGCTTCAGACCCTTCTCGGCCAGGCGGCTGAGCAGCAGCTCCCACAACTGATGGAGCTCATCCAGACGCCGCTGAATAGTCTCGGAGGCAAAGTGCTGCTGATTGATCATCTCCTGGCCGGTGTTGTCCAGCGATACGATGGCATTGCTATGCGCCGAGACCTCGGCCTCGAAGGCCTGATGCTTCTGGATCTTGGCCTGCAGATTGGTGGGATCGCGATAGCTCTCCTCGCTGGCCGCTTGCAGCTTCTCGTGGATCCACGATTCCAGCTCGTCGGCATCGCGCTTAAAGTACTGAAAGCGACGCGAATCCTCGAGCTTCTCGCGCTTCTGACGGGTCTCGATCTTGAACTCGTTGTAGCGCGAGAGTACTTGCTCACGACGCTCCTGAATGTCCTCGACGGTCTCGAGGATTTTCACCTCCTTCGGTGTGAAATTCTCCATTTCGTGGCTTCTTCGTTTGGTTGTCTTCTATTCTTCAAAAAAAAATATTCGTTCGTCTTTTGGTTTCGTGAAGAGCTGCAAAATTCAAACAAAAAATTCCATTAACTACATTTCATTTCCTTTCGTTTTGTTTTGTTTACACTTTGTGCTGCAATTTACCGTAAGCTGCTCTGGGCGCTGCCAACTGGTTTCAAATTAATACTGCTGCCTGCTGATGCTTCTTCATCAAATGTTTGACCGTGCACAACTGTAATATAAATTTGGCACAGTAAATAATTAGTTTAAAGTCTTCATTGACATGGTTTAAAATTTAATACAATTTAATTTAAAATGCAAATTTCTGAATCAAGTTGGCACAACATCCAGAAAGCATCCCCCTGGAGCTTATCGCCGCGCTGCCAACTATCCCGAGAGCAATCGCTCCGATTAATTTAAATATTCTTGAACCGAACCGAACAGCGATTGCATTTTCGTTAGCTATACAAAATAATGCAAAGCATTAAATACAGTGTATGTATGTATGTATGTACAATAATTCCACAAAATATAGTTGCTTGTCGCGTTGCCAACTGCTTTGGATCGATGATCGAATCGTTTCAGAATGCGTTCAAGAATTAACTACAAAACGGTGACAGTGACGCACTCATTCTCGCGCTGATTAGCCCAGCCCAGCCCAGCCCAGCCATCGTTATCTTATCGACAACATACCCAATAAAGACAATTTCCCTTTGCCTTCCCTTTGCCCCTCACAGAGTTATTTTCTACACAAAGTTTTGGAAAAAAGAACCTCCTTTATTTAGGGGTCCAAACGGGTACGTGACATAACACACAAGAATTAGAAATATTTGTTTTGGGTTTTAGAAACTATCCAAATCACGCGACAAATCGGCCATCATCTCCATAAACAGATGCGATTTGGCCTCGTCCTCGGGACTTTTGATGTCGCCCTCTTTGTGGGCCACTCGATTCCCCTGCGATAGGTGCTGCAACATTTGGGAGAGGGCACTCCAGACGGCCGGTGGCCAGTTCTCCTTGAAGAGCGGCAGGAACAGCTCATTCAACTTATCGGCATTCAGTACTCCCTCCTCCAGCATGGTGAGGAGGAATTTCTCCAGCAGGCGGAAGCACCGTGCATAGTTTCCCAGCTCCTGGATGAAACTTACAGTAAGCAAAGCATCAAAGATGCCCGGCGAAGCTGGCTCGCTGACCGAGAACTGAGGTGTCCGCCACACCGCGCAGCTGGCAGAGAGGATCTGTGGTGTCAGGAGCAGCGGCTCGCGGATGATCAGCAGCTGGACAAGTCGCACCAGGCTGGAGCCAATCAAATGATAGAAAACGGTGGGCAGCTGGGGCAACAGAACGGCGTGTCGAATCTGCTGGAGCAATTCCCACAGCTCTGCCTCACTTCCCATGCTCTCCGGACGCAGGCTGCAGCAGTGTAGCCACTGCTGCAGCTGGAACAGCATGTCGGAGAGACTGAAGCCCACGTCCAGGGTCAGCTGCATTTCGCTGGAGCTGGCGCCGCCAGTTGTTTCCAATTTGTTCTTGTTGGCGCGGCACACCTTGCCGGTCAGCTCCTGAAGATCCCCGTGGTAGAAGCTGGACTGCATCACGTTCGACAGCAGCCACTGCTGCAGCTGGATCTGCGCCTGGCCACGGATCAGTTGGGCGTACGTGGCTCGCAGCACCTCGTTGGTGCTTTCTGGCAGCAGGGCCTCCAGCGATTGCTCGATGCGCTCCTTTAGCATTCGTGGCACTTGCTCCGCCCATCGCTGGCAGGCCTGCGATTTGGCCTCTTGGTAGATCTGCTGTATGTCTCCAAACACCTCCTGATATTGCGTGGAACTGATCTCGTTGACGCGGCCATCAGCCGCCGCCTTGGACGGCAGTAGAATCTGCTGCTGGGCATCCTTTACCACGCACTTGAAGCTGCGCTCCGTCACAAACTCGATGAGGCGTCGAGTCGAGGCATTCTGCGAGTGAAGGAAGGCATCGGCCAGCTTCCGCTGCTGCTGTTCCGCCGAACTGAGCTCCACCGAGGCCACCACCGGATGGCCCGTTGCCGAGGACGTGGCTCCTCCGCTCTGATTCAGCTGCTCCAGCCGCGTGGTTATGTACCGGAAGCGGCCGCTTCGTCCAGTGCTCTGGGACTGCCGCGAGGGCGTGATGCTCACTCGAAACTCGTGGAGGTAGGGGCAGGCCACCGGCAGCAGTTCCTCCATTTGGGGCACATGCGATTTCTCCAACGAACGAAACGTACTGAGGCAGCTCTCCACAACGGCTGCATTTGGTCCGTGACCCGTACCCGCCGCCCCCAAGGCCCTGTGGCTGTAGTATCCACCGACCAGATCCGGCTGTGCCTCCATTAGCCAACCCAGACAGCTCCTGGCAATGAAAACGGCACCTGGTTGCAGTTTCTCGGCCGGCATGGCGGCGTACAGGGCATATAGGAGCTCCAGAGTGGCCAGAGTGCTGGGCAACTGGAGCGTAACGAGGTCCAACATGACCAGATACTGCACCAGCCAGGGCAGAGTGATCAGCAGCTTGCCATTCAACATCGAGCGTTCGAGGAGCTCGCGCAGATTAAAGTCCGGCTGGAAGTGGCTGCGCAGCTGCAGCTGCTGCTGGCAGAGAGACGATTGCGGCTGGCCGGAACAACGATTGTAGGGCAGGGCCGTCACATAGCCGAGGAACTTTGCCAGAATCAGTATATTGGCCATGGTCTGGGCACGCACAGTGAAGGGTCCGCCCTGCTGGGAGGTGCGCTCCTCCACCACATCCTCGGCCAGCTGCTGCAGCTCGAAGGTGGAGTCATTGTGGCGCATCAATTGGACGTAGAGGGCGAGCTTGAGCTGCACCAGAAAGGCCATGGAGGCGCATTCGCCGATAAAGTCGCGGAAGAAAGCCTGCGAGCGGGGGAACTGATCCTCGACGCTGGAGTTGGAGGTCACCAGTCGCTGTGCCAAGCGATTCAGTCGCAGCTGGTCCAGCTTGAGGCCCAGCTCCTCCGGAGATTCGGTTGTCTCGCTGCCAGAGATGAGCAGCTGGCTGACAAACAGCTTGGCAAAGTGGGCCATGTTCACGGCATTCTCCGACATCCTGAAGATGTCCCGCACCCGTGGCGTGACGTCTCGACTGAAGCAGAATACCCGATTGAGGTGGCTCGTCTCCCACAGCTTGAAGGCCTTGTAGAAGAGATCGCGCTGCGACTTGAAGGCCCCAAACTCATTCTGGTTGGGAAAGTTATCGCGCGAGTCCTTCTCTTCGTGGTAGTAGACATTCTGCTGGCCACCAGGCGAGGCCACAGTCAGGGCGGAGGAGGAGGATGTGATCTCCTTCTTTGCCAGCTCCTGCTTACGCTGGCACGACTCCTCCAACTGATGTAGCAGCGACTGTGGCAGCAGGCCCAGGCGCTCTTGTTGCAGCAGAACACCGAGTGATTTCCTGTCCAGCTGCAGCAGAAGATACTGCTGATGCTCCAGCACCTGAAGGGCAAAGTAAATGCAGTTCTTGTAAAGACCCAGCCGGTGCAGGGGCGTCCCCAGATCCAGGTCCTTCACCGCCTGACTGGGACTCACATCCGAGTCGTGTACGTTGAGTAGCTGCAGCACAAAGCTCAGCTCTCCCAGCACGTTCGGCACCAGATTGAGGTCCAATAGCTGGCCATAGATGGCCGAGAGCACCTGCAGCTGGCCGGGACTTTTAACATCATCCAGCTTGACGACGACGGGCTCCTGCATGCTGGAGACCTCATCCTCTTGACCCCTCTCTGGGGCCACACAGACGGGCGCCTCACTTTTGATCTCCTGCTTGTGCAGGAGCAGGGTTTTGCGTGCCTCCATGTCCAGGGCAGCGCCCTGGCTGCGATCGAACAGTTCGCTGCTCTGCGAGAGGCGCCACAGATTGTTGTCGTTGCTAAAGGAGCTGGTGTCGCCAAAGGAAGAGCTGGCCGAGACGTTCTTACTAATGGTCATCGGGAGGACGCGACGCCTGGGCTTGGCCTGGGCAGCAGCAGCGTTTGCCTGCTGCTGTAGGTGCTGCTGCTTGGGAGTAGTCTTCTTCTTGGTGGATCGCTGCTGGCCTGGGGTCGGCGTTGTAGCCAGAAAGTCGCCCAGACAAAAGCTATGGCCACGGTCACCAGCAGCGCCGCCTCCGCTGCGATTGGCGCTTTGGGGCGTGCTGCAGAACTGACCGCTGCCAGCGGACCTTCGGCCCTGCGACTGCTGCTGTCGGACCGGAGTACACATCGAGGAGTTGGCACTGGCGGCACTCTGGCTGGTGAGAGATTCGTTGAGCGGGTCTTCAGGCGGTGGCTTAGACTGTCGTACGGGTGTCAGACACTTGGGAGTCGTGTCGGTCTCGCTGCCGTGGAAATGCTGTTCCGTATGTTGGCGCACGGCGGCTAGAAAGTAGACAGCAAAGTCCTCCAAGCTGCATGTCTTGCCCTTCTTGAAGAGCGACACAAACTTCAGGGGCAACTGCGGACGGGCAACCTTTTCCAGATTCGACAGCAGAAGCTGGAGCTGAGTCTCTTCCAATCTGTTCATTTTTGTTCCTTGTCTTTGCCTGTCGTTTAAAGTGACGCTAGGGACATGGCCTTATTTCGGAGGCTTCAGATATTTATATCCTCGGTCAGAAACACACACTCTCTATCTCTCTCTCTCTTTCGTAATGGTCCCTCTCTCTCTCACACTTTTCCTGCAACGGAAGAGGGGAGAAGAGAAATGGTTTTCTTGTACACGCTCGGCTTTTGTTTGTTTTTCGTTTCTATTTTTGGATTTGGTTTTGTTTTTTTTGTTGTTTTTTGTTGTGGATAGGTTGAAGGATTTTGTTCCTTGAGGATTTTGACATTTTTTGAAATCACTTTCAGTCACACACACTAGAACGCGCATGAGGGGAAGGAGAAGGAAAGACTCTACGAGGTATCAAAATATGTCAGCATATTCCATTGACACATACTATATTGGAGGGTATATAAGGTTAGGATACATAGTACATAGATAAATAGAGTATAGAAAATGCAATTTCCAATTGTTTACCCAACATAGAACATATATATAGATACATACAGGCAATGCGCAACGTTAAACTAAATTTAGATATAAAATGTTCCCATTCAACGACCCGCTACTGTACACAAAATTCCCGTTTGAGCGAGCAATTCTGATAAGCATATCTGGGACATTTCAGGGTTTCAGTTTATTACTGCTCGATTACTTAACATTTCCAGAATATGAATGAAAGAGGTCAAAACAGCAGAAATCTGCCTTAATTAATTAAAGCCAGTGACATCATTTCCCCCCGTGAACAAAAACAATCACACATCAAGAGGGTGGGTCCACGCCAGAGAGCAGGGCAGGAAATAACACAAAAAAATACCCTAGGCTGGGCTCGGGCATTTTTGTTGTCTCTCTCTCTCTATCTCTCTGTCAAAAGCAGCCATACAAAAGTATGAGCAAACACATCACACACACAAAAAGCATTGAAGGCAATTTAACTGTTTATCGAGGTACAAAATACAAACAACAACAAAAAAACAGCAAGTGCGAGAGAACGAACCCCCTTGAAAAGAGAGCAAACCCATGTGTGTGTGCATGTGTGTTTGTGTGTGTACATTAATTGAAGTGTCTATCAGAAAATAGCTTGGAATGACGTAATCCTCACGGTTTGGAATTATGAGCAATGATTGCCAAGCACGAAATATACTATCCAAAAGAACTTATAGGCTGAGTTGTACTATAGCCACACACACCCACATACAATGGGAGTGAAATATCCTACATGAATTAGCCTTCAAGCAAAGTCAAGGACACTGCCATTTAAACAGGTTTTTGGCAAATGTAAGGCAAAACATTACTCTTCGTACTTGGACGCTCTCACATGCACACAAACAATCTCATGACAGGCTCTCTCGCGCTTTCTCTCGGCTGAAGTTGCCGCACCACAGCCGATGACGTACACACACACGCACACATATTGAATTTTCTACTCCTGCACGCATGCACACATACAAACAAAACTGGAGCTACTACATACATAGATACTTTTTTTCAACTTCAATTTGAATACAGAATTTTGCGCAAAATACGAACAATTCCAGGATAATTGTATCCTTGGTGTTGTGCCATTGATATATTTAATAGTATTCAACACTTTTCCCTCACATTTACCCATATTTAATTGGATTTAGAGTGCCTCTATGAGAGGGTGTGGCGTTGACCCGAAAAATTTTCACTTTGCACACCAACCAAATTTCAATTGCAACTTATAGCTATAAATCCATGTGCTGCCATTATAAAATTAATGAAAACTTACACTTTGATGTCTAATGTAATGTTTCACAGTTGTTTCATTAATTAAATTATTGATTTTAAATGGTTTTTTCTAGTTTTTCGCAGCGCCTGAATTTCACGCGAACCGCACGGTAAAAATTGTAAATCGATAGTACTCACCGATAATTTTGTTTGTGGTACTATCGACTAGATTTTACAAAATGTCGGACGCGCTACCGATATATTGAGTGGAGTACGTTGTGATATTTGGCAACACTGGAATTAACTTTGTTTTGGGGTGTGGGAGGAAAATATTTTGAAATGGATAAAGAAAAGCTAATTGCTCCCAATCAGATTGGATACCTGATCCTGAAGGACGATGGCGCCGTTTTGGAATCGGGGGGTGAACTGAAGAACGACGAGCGCAGTGCAAATGTGATAATGGGTCTTCTGAATCTGACGGAAAGGTTGGAGCTGTTGCAATCGTCATCCACATAATGTTGTTTGCTCCTAAATTTTAAATGTTTACAGCATCGATGAGGACTTTATGCCCAACAGTAGCTGCGAGAGGATCACCATCGACTACGACCAGCACTACTACAGCATCTGCATGTCCAATCGCCGCATCTACGTCGTGAAGCTGAGCAAGACGCACACGCAGAATGGAGCCACCACAAGCTCGTCGTCTTCCACGTCCTACAACGATGCCGCCGAGGGCAACAACATTGGCTCCAGCTCCACGGTGATGGCTTGAAAACTACCTACCAATGCCCATTCCACGTGCAGATTCTGCCGGAGATATCAGGAGCGCCGGCCAGGATCGGGGCAGCGGCACTATAATTGGCGAACCCCCTTCGTTTACCTCATACTGCTATTTATTTGTCAAAGAATACATCATCTGTGAGCTCCTGTTCAAATATACGCTTCGCCTCTTGCGTCACGTCCAGAAGGGTCGCCTTGCTGTTGCATAAAATCACATAGTACTGCCGCCAGTTGCAGCGCCGCTTCACAATCCAATAGTCATTGGTGGTCTTCACCTGAAGCTCCTCGGTGGACGCGGTAGCTGCCACATCCAAATGCTCGCCGGGATTGATCAGATCCGCAATTACGCTCATAACATTACGCGGAATGCCATTCCTGTGGATATTCGTGTGGTGCTGAAGGCTCTGTTCGTTGATGAACAGATACTTGGGTGTGGCATCGTTGGACGCTGAGCCGCTGTCCTGTCCAGGATGGGCCAGGGCTTCCTTTGACACTTCGCTGGAAATATCACGTGCCAGACACGTCAGCTGCGGCGCAATGTAGGCATGCAGTTCGTCGTAGAGGTCCTGCCTTGGAGCAGGCTGTTTGGCTGCAGCGGGACCAGGGATTAGAAAGCAGAAAAAAGGGAAGGTAACGCACTGCGCCTGGACATACATACCATCGAGGAAAAGACATAGGGTAATGTGTAGAGCACGATATATGAGCAAATAATATGGCGTAGCTTGATTTTCGACGGATATGTAGACCGTAAGAGGCAGCGCTTCCTCCTGTCCATCACTGGCATCGCCGGGAGCGCAGCGTACAAATCCTCTCGCTTGGCACTCGCTGATGCTGCGCTTTAGCACAGGAGTGGCGGCAGATGATGCGTTCGACTCCAATGCCAGGACATTTTGGACAATGTACGCATGAAGACTGTAGAGATCGCCCGCACTGAGCTTGCCACCGCAGACGATCTGCTCGTTGTAGAGCATAATGCTCTCCTTGATCACCGGAAAGGTGGCGCACAGCATGCCAAAGTTGTGCGCCCGCAGGAAGAGAGCCTTGTCCAGGGACAGGTACTGTATGGAATGGAGCATGTCAATGATATCACAGTGGGCCAGATCCTTCAGGCTGATCAGATATTTCTCGTAAAACTGCAGCAATTGCCCGGAGAGCAGTTCGCGTCGCTGATCAGCCTGCTCCAGTCCAGCGCCAACCGACGCCAGTGTTCCATGCTGGAAGCGATACATTTGGTAGCACTGGCGGAGGATGGCCCTGTATATGCGATCGGAGACTTCGCCGCCCCGGTAGTCGGCCACCTCCACGCCCTCCTTGAGCCGTATTTCCTTGGGCACGTTCAGCACCAGGACCAGCCAGAAGCCCGGCTCGGGCTGGTAAAATAGCTGTGTTGTCTTTTGGGTATGCAGCGCCTTGCAGTCATCGTCGGAAGTGAATGTGCTGGAAAAGACGGGGATTAAATGGCTGCAGGAACAACTGCTATTGTGGGAAATACCCAGTAAATCTGATGATTGCTTCGCTGAGGCCCACATCCTTGATTTTGGTGTTCAGTTCGATGTCGTTTGGATGATAATACAAAACCTTCTTGTGTTCCTGCGGATGGTACTCATTCGTGGGCGTTGCTTGCGACTCGGCTTATTCGAACTCACCTCGCCTTCCTTCTCGCCAAAGCTCGAGTTGAACACGTAAAAACTACGAAGCGTGACCTCCAGGCGCTGCAACAATTTCGTCATAGTTGCGCAAATTTATTTTATTGTTTAATTTATTTATTTTACAAAAATTTCCTAACGCGTTTCTGTTAAAGAAAACCCATGCTTGTCACTAGAAAATCCATAGCGCGTTCCATAATAAACAAAATACCAAACATACGGTATTTAAAACCAGTGCTGGAAAATGTCCTTAAAGCCTAATTTGAATAAAATAAAACGGGATTTATTGAACAATTTAATTTTATTAACCTGTGTATTTTGAATGGATAATTTAGATTAAGAATTTAAGAGAGTGATGTCAACAAAAAGGATATCGGTCTAGGTCCTGAATTTAAACTGAAATTGACAGTCGTTTGGTGCAGAAAAATCTTGAATGTAGCCTTGAAATAACTAGTTCTGTGTAGATGGGCGTGTTTAATTGGAAATGTAGCAAGATTAGGCGCTGATTCCACCGCGGAGACGCAGCACCAAATGGAGAGTAGACTCCTTCTGGATGTTGTAGTCAGAAAGAGTACGGCCATCCTCCAGCTGCTTGCCGGCGAAGATGAGACGCTGCTGGTCTGGGGGGATTCCCTCCTTGTCCTGGATCTTGGCCTTCACGTTCTCAATGGTGTCGGATGGCTCGACCTCCAGGGTGATGGTTTTGCCGGTCAGAGTCTTCACAAAGATCTGCATACCACCGCGGAGACGCAACACCAAATGGAGAGTGGACTCCTTCTGGATGTTGTAGTCAGAAAGAGTACGGCCATCCTCCAGCTGCTTGCCGGCGAAGATGAGACGCTGCTGGTCTGGGGGGATTCCCTCCTTGTCCTGGATCTTGGCCTTCACGTTCTCAATGGTGTCGGATGGCTCGACCTCCAGGGTGATGGTTTTGCCGGTCAGAGTCTTCACAAAGATCTGCATACCACCGCGGAGACGCAGCACCAAATGGAGAGTGGACTCCTTCTGGATGTTGTAGTCAGAAAGAGTACGGCCATCCTCCAGCTGCTTGCCGGCGAAGATGAGACGCTGCTGGTCTGGGGGGATTCCCTCCTTGTCCTGGATCTTGGCCTTCACGTTCTCAATGGTGTCGGATGGCTCAACCTCCAGGGTGATGGTTTTGCCGGTCAGAGTCTTGACGAAAATCTGCATACCACCGCGGAGACGCAGCACCAAATGGAGAGTGGACTCCTTCTGGATGTTGTAGTCAGAAAGAGTGCGGCCATCCTCCAGCTGCTTGCCGGCGAAGATGAGACGCTGCTGGTCTGGGGGGATTCCCTCCTTGTCCTGGATCTTGGCCTTCACGTTCTCAATGGTGTCGGATGGCTCAACCTCCAGGGTGATGGTTTTGCCGGTCAGAGTCTTCACAAAGATCTGCATACCACCGCGGAGACGCAGCACCAAATGGAGAGTGGACTCCTTCTGGATGTTGTAGTCAGAAAGAGTACGGCCATCCTCCAGTTGCTTGCCGGCGAAGATGAGACGCTGCTGGTCTGGGGGGATTCCCTCCTTGTCCTGGATCTTGGCCTTCACGTTCTCAATGGTGTCGGATGGCTCAACCTCCAGGGTGATGGTTTTGCCGGTCAGAGTCTTGACGAAAATCTGCATACCACCGCGGAGACGCAGCACCAAATGGAGAGTGGACTCCTTCTGGATGTTGTAGTCAGAAAGAGTGCGGCCATCCTCCAGCTGCTTGCCGGCGAAGATGAGACGCTGCTGGTCTGGGGGGATTCCCTCCTTGTCCTGGATCTTGGCCTTCACGTTCTCAATGGTGTCGGATGGCTCGACCTCCAGGGTGATGGTTTTGCCGGTCAGAGTCTTCACAAAGATCTGCATACCACCGCGGAGACGCAGCACCAAATGGAGAGTGGACTCCTTCTGGATGTTGTAGTCAGAAAGAGTACGGCCATCCTCCAGCTGCTTGCCGGCGAAGATGAGACGCTGCTGGTCTGGGGGGATTCCCTCCTTGTCCTGGATCTTGGCCTTCACGTTCTCAATGGTGTCGGATGGCTCGACCTCCAGGGTGATGGTTTTGCCGGTCAGAGTCTTCACAAAGATCTGCATACCACCGCGGAGACGCAGCACCAAATGGAGAGTGGACTCCTTCTGGATGTTGTAGTCAGAAAGAGTACGGCCATCCTCCAGCTGCTTGCCGGCGAAGATGAGACGCTGCTGGTCTGGGGGGATTCCCTCCTTGTCCTGGATCTTGGCCTTCACGTTCTCAATGGTGTCGGATGGCTCAACCTCCAGGGTGATGGTTTTGCCGGTCAGAGTCTTTACAAAGATCTGCATACCACCGCGGAGACGCAGCACCAAATGGAGAGTGGACTCCTTCTGGATGTTGTAGTCAGAAAGAGTACGGCCATCCTCCAGCTGCTTTCCGGCGAAGATGAGACGCTGCTGGTCTGGGGGGATTCCCTCCTTGTCCTGGATCTTGGCCTTCACGTTCTCAATGGTGTCGGATGGCTCAACCTCCAGGGTGATGGTTTTGCCGGTCAGAGTCTTTACAAAGATCTGCATACCACCGCGGAGACGCAGCACCAAATGGAGAGTAGACTCCTTCTGGATGTTGTAGTCAGAAAGAGTACGGCCATCCTCCAGCTGCTTGCCGGCGAAGATGAGACGCTGCTGGTCTGGGGGGATTCCCTCCTTGTCCTGGATCTTGGCCTTCACGTTCTCAATGGTGTCGGATGGCTCAACCTCCAGGGTGATGGTTTTGCCGGTCAGAGTCTTTACGAAGATCTGCATACCACCGCGGAGACGCAGCACCAAATGGAGAGTGGACTCCTTCTGGATGTTGTAGTCAGAAAGAGTACGGCCATCCTCCAGCTGCTTGCCGGCGAAGATGAGACGCTGCTGGTCTGGGGGGATTCCCTCCTTGTCTTGGATCTTGGCCTTCACGTTCTCAATGGTGTCGGATGGCTCAACCTCCAAGGTGATGGTTTTGCCAGTCAAGGTTTTCACAAAGATCTGCATTTTGTATTATTCTGCAAAGGAAAATGCAATGTATGAATTAGTAACAGCTGAATTTCAGGGTGAGGCTATGACACAAAAAAATTTTATTTGGAGACAAATGAAACAGGTATGAGATTCTATCTCTTGGCTTGCTTTGTTTCCGGGGTGAAAGGTTGTTTCTTTTGCAATTCGACAAAACAAAGACACAAAGGAAACATTTGGAAACCTTTGTTCCGCTGAGTAGTCGTGGCCGCAGTATGTATACGTATACGTCAGAGATGGACGCAGATAGAGTCTCGAAAGCACGAACTATCAGGTCCTCACGCACGAGCAAAATCTATTCGACGTGCACGATTATTTCCGACACGCACGAAGTCACGAAATTGAAGGACAGTACATACACATTTGGCTATGACGCAGTTCTATCTGCATTCGTGTATGTATGTATAGGTGACGTCAAAGATGTCAAGTGATGGAGGCCAAACTAGTTTTTTCAACCCTCTGTATGTACATATAGGGATACTGCGTGAATATCATTTCAAAGATTTAATCAGCGGATTGGGGAAATATTTCTTGCAAAACGAAGAAAGTTTTTTAATTAATAAAACAGCAGTGCTACACACACATACATATGTACATACATTTTTATGTATGCATGCACACAAAGGCGTAGGTAATGCGTAGGTTTTTCGAATTTCGACTGAAATATCGAATATTTAGGGAAAGAAAACCTTACTAGATAGAAATTCACCTAGTTTGAAACTGAGTTCGAGCAAAATATTTCATTTCATACGAAAGATAAGTAAAGACCCAGTGCAGCACACAAAGGGGGATGCGTGTGTCATGCATATACATACATACATATGAATGTGTGTGAGGCTTCTCGAATTTTCAAATGGCGTCATAGCACAATTTCACAAGAAATTGGCAAAATTGCATCAAAAAAGGATATCTACGCAACACCTATTTATAGCATTGTTTAATTTCCCGGAAACATCATTACGAAAACTAATGCGTTGCAGCCAACTTCTAATTTTAAAATACGCAAGTGCATAAGAGGGTTGAATAAGACAAGAAAAAAAAATGGCTGCACAGACCTTTGTTACGAGGCCTTAAATTGACACGCGAAAACTCCAGCTTGTTTCGTACCCCTATAAATAACTATTTAAAAAACATTTACAACTTACGTTTGTCTTTAGTTTTCCCTTTTAAAATTATCTTTTCACCAACAAAGGACACGAAACTGTTAAATTCTGTAGTTTTTCTTCCAATTTTCTCGAACGAACTGTGTTCAGGTGTCAAACCATCGAGGGCACTATCGATAGTATCGATATTCCTATCGACGGTTTTGCGACTATCATGATAGTATCGAGCTACAGCCGTTGCGCTTTTGATATGTTTGGATTGGCTGCTATAAAATACGAAGACAAATTTGTAAACAAATCGACCGGTGGCATCTAATTTTTACAATGGACCAGTTCCTAAAAGGTTTCAATGGTTTCTTAATTATTATTTGAGCCCGATACTATCACGATAGTATCGACTGCTTTTTTCCAAACATTCAACGTTGATATTCCTCGAATTTGATATTCCGGCTAAAATTACTAGCTAGTTGGCCCTCTCAGCACTAAACACATAATTTTATCCGGTAGATTAGTCTATTTTTTATAAGTTTGGTTAGTTTTCAGAAGTTCTTTTCATTAGACTATTTACATATTAAGGTTAAAACAAAAACAACATAAAACGAATGTGACGTCATTTTGTGGCGCTGCCAGACTCGTGCAATTCGTAGTTGCTGCGGGCTGCCATACCATGATATTTTGTGATATGAAATTCGTCAATTTCGATATTCAGTTGAATATTACTAGATAGTTGGCCCTCTCAGACGTAAACAAATAATTTGAAAACCCACCACGAATTGAGAGCGAAAAATGTGAGTATTTTTTGTGCGTTAAATGAGTTTTGCGGTCATTTTCAAATGTATATTAAACCACTTAACCCCCTTTTATTTATACGGGTGAACAACTTTAGTTAAAGTATCTTTCAGATACATCTTTCATCTTTGATTACAAAAAAAACGGAGCATGATATCTTTCACCTGAGCTGCGGTAAAATTGTTCAACTATCCTTATATTCCTGCGTAAATAAAATATACCCTCTGGACGACAAAGGGTTAAGCGTTCTTTGTACATGATCAGAAATCATATTCCTCGATTTGAATATTCGGTTTAATAGTACTAGCTAGCTAGCTTTCTGGCGCACAACGATGTTATACAAAAATTAAACTCACCACAGAATAAAATTACTCAAATATGTTGAAACACCTTGAGACGACAACTGTACCGTACTGGCCGCTTGAGAATAACTGATATAGTCAAATTTAGATTGACAATTATATCAGAGCCTTTTAGATGGTTTAGATATTTGAGTTTTGTCAATTATTTTCGATTCAATGTGAGACGAGCGAGAGACCCTGACCGTACTGCCAGACTCCAAAATTTTGAACTAAAATCAACAAAATTTCGTTGACGCTAAATTCAGCGCCGTGTAAAAACCGTTTCATGTACTACATTACTTATAAGTATACTCACCAGAATAAAAAAAGTAAAATATTTGAAGACAATTTCAAGACAAGACCTGGATAACGACTGAATCAAAAACATGAAATTTAGTTGAGAACAATAAATCTATCGTTGACAGTTAGTTCAATGCCTAATCTGCTAATCTTGTCTGAATTAAATAAAGCCGTTGCAGGGAATTTGCAGCACTCAGCCAGCACTTTTAGGAATACCCACACTGTATGAAAATGGTTGTGAATTATCGCAATGCGCGTATTTTTGCAAATTTAACAGCAGCAAATATATAACCAGCAATTAATTCACTTACCAATAATACTCCCCAGAGATATTCGCAGTTTCGTGGACTATTTCGAATGTCTTTGCTACGTTTCCTTCAGGAACAGTGTTTTTTTACCGGCAGCAATTAATAAAAATTGCTCGACTGGAAATTGTGGGGGGAAAGGGCTATTGTAACTCTTCTGATGTTATATTGAATTCAAAAGCAACGACTACCTGATTAGATTTATTGTGGGGATTTAGTCTAAAACGGTCACACATCGATATCTACATGGGAGGGTATATTTTATCGTCAGCTCCCGCGGTCACACTGAGTTATTTACCGGTTACTGGTTCTCGGTTTCTGAGGTCACTCGACAAAACAAATCAAGTTATTTTTCCAAATGTTAAGACACATTTCAAATTGACCGCCAAACTCAATTTAGCGCACCAAAAATACTGACATTTTTCGCTCTCAATTCGTGGAGAGTTTTCAAAATTTGCTCTCAATTCGTGGAGAATAGAGTGTTTTTGTGGAGACTTTCCCCTCATTTTCGTGGTGTGGCAGCATGCTGCTGAAATTTTTCCCATACTAAATCAAATGTATCTTACGGGAACGCGTATGGAATGAAGATATGATACATTTGATTTGTATGGGAAAAATTTCAGCAGCATGCTGCCACACCACGAAAATGAGGGGAAAGTCTCCACATGGGGCAACATGGGGAAATGAAGTAGCAGCATTGTTGTGCAACTTTGGCACGGAATGAGCAACAATCTGCATACCTTGGGAAAATGGATATTATGGACTTGAGATATTGTTTGAATTTTCAGGCTCCAATTAATGCAGAAACTACTCAGTCTCTGTTCTAAAGATTTTAACAAAGTTTTGCAGCTCACGACTACCAATAATAGGTATCAGAACCGGGATAAATGTATTTGTAACACACAAACATGTGCATTAATATGTAAAAAACATGTCAATCTAGGATAAAATCATAAATAATGTTTCAATGGAGCTTGGAACAAAACATTTAACATCAATTAAACAAAATACGGTATACAAAAGTCCTTACGCATAGAAGAAACTTGGTTGACCAGCAACACTGACGTCACATTTAGTCAACATTTACGTTTTATGCTTTGGCCGCTTTTGTTGAACCTTAATATGTAAACAATCCAATGAAACAGAGTTCTAAGAACTAACCAATCCTGAACAAAATTTATGTATCTATCGGATAAAATTATTTGTTTACGGCTGAGAGGGCCAACTATCTAGTAATATTAAACTGAATATCAAAATTGACGAATTTCATATCACAAAATATCACGGTATGGCAGCCCGCAGCAACTACGAATTGCACGAGTCTGGCAACGCCACAAAACTACGACAAACTCGTTTTATGCTGTTTTTGTTTTAACCTTAATATGTAAATAATCTAATAAAAAGGACTTCTGAAAACTTGCCAAACTTATAAAAAATAGATTAATCTACCGGATAAAATTATGTGTTTAGTGCTGAGAGGGCCAACTAGCTGGTAATATTAAACGGAATATCAATATCGAGGAATATCAACGTCGAATGTTTTGAAAAAAAAATTGATACTATCGTGATAGTATCGGGCTAAAATAATTATTAAAAAACCATTGAAACCTTTTAGGAACTTGTCCATTGTAAAAATTAGATGCCACCTGTCGATTTTTTTACAAATTTGTCTTCGTATTTTATAGCAGCCAATCCAAACATATCAAAAGCGCAACGACTTTAGCTCGATACTATCATGATAGTCTGAAAACCGTCGATAGTAGAGGCCATCAGTAAAATATCGATACTATCGATAGTGCCCTCGATGGTTTGACACCTCTATCTCACAATTCTCACAAACGGCCGCAAAAACATGGAGCTCGAAATACTCAGTGCAAAGACCAGCAAGTCCTATGGCAAGGTAAAGGTGCCCTCGGCCGCCACTCCCATTGGCGACCTGCGCGCCCTGATTCACAAGAGCCTGAAGCAGACCCCGGATGCCAACCGCCAGTCCCTGCGCCTGGATGCGCGTGGCAAGAGCCTGAAGGACACGGACACCGTGGAGTCGCTGTCGCTGCGCAGTGGGGACAAGATCTATGTAAAGGACCTGGGGCCCCAGATTGGATGGAAGACGGTGTTCTTGGCTGAGTATGCCGGGCCCCTGATTGTGTATCTGATTTTCTATTTCCGCCCGGAATTAGTCTACGGCAAGGCAGCCAGCACACCGATCTCCCTCACCACCCAGTAAGTAGACCGTTGCGCGTGTGTTTGTGTGTGTGTGTGTCAGTGCGACTTTCGCCGAACATCTTTCGATTTTGTGTTTTTTGAATACGACCTGATTGACCCAACGGCGACTAAAGCCGCGCTTATGCAAAGCGATGAGTGACTTAAACGCAAGCCAAAGCATTAGCTTTTACCCGAATGCATAATTATTAACCCGTTTTCGTTCGCTCCGCTTTCCTCCAATCTTCTGCAGTATCGCCGCCGGTTGCTACACTGTCCACTATGCGAAGCGTTTGCTGGAGACGATCTTTGTGCACCGCTTCTCGCACGCCACAATGCCATTGCGCAATCTATTCAAAAACTGCACCTACTATTGGGGATTCACCGCGTATGTGTCCTACCACGTCAACCATCCTTTGTACACATCGCCCTGCATGTGCACTGTCTGGGCCGCCCTGGGAGCCTTTGCTGTAAGTGGTCACTACTGTGTGGGAGTATTCCAACGGGATTACTATTTACTCTTTCCATTTGCAGCTGTGCGAACTGGGCAATTTCTCCATACACATTGCATTGCGCAATTTGCGTCCACCTGGCACTAAGGTGCGCAGGATTCCAGTTGCCGACGCCAATCCGTTGACCAAGTTGTTCAAGTGAGTGGTTAATGCGTGGCTCGTCCAGTTGGTATTTGTAGCTAATGTTTGGTGCTTTGCAGCCTTGTGTCTTGCCCTAACTACACCTACGAGATTGGAGCCTGGGTATCCTACTCGGTGATGACCTCCTGCCTGGCCGCCTATCTGTTTGCCTTTGCTGGCGCTTTCCAGATGAGCGTCTGGGCCCTGGCCAAGCATCGCAACTACAAGAAGGAGTTCAAAGATTATCCCCGGCAGCGCCGCTCCATCTTCCCATTCGTCCTGTAAATGGCATCATATTTCATTGCGTTCGCAGTTCTCGACGCTGTATTACCTATTCCATTTGGTTAGCATTTAAAGGGTAGTGTAGTTGACTTATGAACTTTGTGCTTTCGTTCGTTCAAAGCAGAAATACATATTGGGGAAGAGTATGTGTACCTTGTGTGTGTAATTTTCGTAAGTTTACCCCTTGGACTTTGATCAAGTGGAATGTTCGGTTGGGGCATTAATTGATTATTTGGTTTTCGGCGAAGAAGCGCGAACCAAGCGTTCGAGGTGCACGTGTCCAGCTAGTGACAGGGGGCCAGGCTGGAACTTAATCTTAATCAAAGACAGCAACTATAACTTGAAGTATAACTCTCGTCTAACTGTTTATATGGTCTGTGCATATATTTATGTGTGTACATGTGCATGTGTATGTACATATGGATGTGTTTCAATACGATACTATTGGGCTTATCGGCGAAGTGAAGTTGGCTGCGGCTGACGTATTTTGTGTTTATTTTGCCGGCAAACGAATCGACCAACTCGAAAATGGCAACAGATCTCAACGATGAACTGGACACCTTGGATCCCACTTCGAAGCTTGTGCCGCCGCGCATAGAATCTCCCACAGCCTACAAGATAGTTGTCCTAGTTCTACTAAAGCAGTATGTGATTGTAGGTTTGCCCAACGTTCCCTGCTATAGCGTCCCGTCCCCATTTTTGACTTGGTTGGCGTCTCTTTTGTTTTTTGCAGAACAAGAAGGTATGCTTGGACACAGGCATCTCAATGCGTCCGCAGAAGCGGCGTATGTTTTACATGCTCATCTTCAAAATAATCCAGGAGGCAGACAAGACCTACGACGAGCTGCACGCCCTGCTCACCGCAGGGCGCTACAAATTGGACAAATTGATGCTGGAGGCGTTCGAGAAGGCCATGTCAGAGTTCTGTGCAGGCAGCATAGAGGCCCTGTTCGACTTTGCAGAGATCCAGAACATAGACGAGATACTGAACGAGAACTATGGCATCAGTCAGTTCAGCATGGTGGGCGTCTATGTGCGTCGCGTGGGTGTCGTCATGGAACGGCTCAGCTTTTCCGACATGATGGACATGTATCGCAACATTTGTTCGTTCTATGAGCGTGGAGTGCGTGCCATGGCCTCGGGCCCAGGGCCACGCAAGTCAGTGGCGGGCGGAGTGCTGCACAGGGAGGAGACACCGCCACCAGTTGCCAAGGACAAATCAAGCGCGGAGGAGAAAAAGAACGACGATGCTGTGGCGCTCTGTGCGGATGGGCGCAATCTCTTGAGCAAGTGGGCCCCCAAGCAGGCCAAATACTTCATCAACAAACAATCGGAGCTGCTGGAGACCAATGAGCGGCATTCCCTGTCGCCCGTGGAGCTGCAGCGCAAGGTGCAAGAGATGATACAGGATCTGCCGCTGACGACGACCCCATACTTTCTAGGCTACATGAACCAGCTGCGCGTGAGGGACTACTACACGTCGCTATCCGCTTTGCATCGCGCCCTAGACCGCAGCCCCGTACGGCTGATGAGCCAGGAGAGGGGCTATCAGTATTTCTGCGTTAATCTGGCCGTGCTGCATGCCACATTCGGACACCGCGATGAGGCGCTGTCCGCTCTCCGGGAGAGCATCATGCTGGCCCAAGAGCACGGGGACAAGCGGAGCCTCAATCTCGCCAACACCTGGTATTGTCTGCTGCGCGACGAGCTGCCGCTGTCCACGGTCCAGCGCAGTGTGTCCGAAGCCAATGAAGAGGATGGTTCGCTGCTCCAGAACTACGCTCTGGCCCTGCATTTTGCCGTCAAGCTGGGCACAATTGCCGGCTACAAACCACTGCGCCTGTTCGACCTGCTCCACCACAGCGATAATCTCACCAATCGGAACAATTTCGTGGACCACGCCTCCGAGGCACTGGCGCTGAGGAGCGCCGTCTGGGCCGCCTATGGCAGGCACGAGCTGTCCGCCCTGTACTCCCAGCTGCTGCTCACTGCTCGGGATCGCTTTAGCAATGGGTCGGCCGGATTGGGCAGTACCTTGGCCAGTGCCTTGGCCAGCTATGCCCTGTGGCTGCAGCTGCAGGGCCAGCCACAGATGTCGCGAGTGCTGCTGGATCGCGCCAGGGGCCGCTTTCCGCGTCTGCCCAGCGCCGAGGGCTGGATGATAAGCCAGTGCCATGTGATCATACAGTCGGGCATCTATCAGTGTCGCTGGCACGATGCCCTGAAGGCCTGCGACCAGCTGTATCTGCTGGACACATCGGATGCCCTGATGCAGAGGGCCTCCATCTATGTCGCCAAGCGGGAGTTCTTCAATGCGCGCCGCCTGCTGGACAATCTGGCCACGCAGAACCAACTTCCCTTCCTGCTGCGCATGCGCATCAAGGTGATGCTGGGATACTGCGGCCTGGCCGAGGGTCGCTTCTCCAGCGAAACGACGATGCTGCTGATGAGTGTGGCCGAGGAAATGGCCGACTCCCAGATGGACTACGAGCTGGCCCTTGTTGACATGCTGCTGGCCCAGCAGCTCCTGCTCCTGGGCTTGCCCCAGAAGGCCTATCAGGCCATCAAGCGTGCTATGCACGACATTCACACAAACGGCGGGATCTTCGAGCGGGCCAGAACCGATTTTGTGTTTGTTCGCTGCCTCCTAGCCATCACGGCCAACAATGTGGAGGCTCGCAAGAGTCAACTGATGAAGTCGCTGGACATCCTGGAGCGCGCTGCTAAATCCTTCAAGCAACTGCAAGCCCATTCCAAGGTGCTGGATGTGTACGTGTTCCTGGCACAGCGCTTCAACGAGTTTGGCGAACGGACGCTGAGGAACAAGTATGCCGGAGAGTTTCGGCGCTATTTCACGGTTCATCCCATACCGCGCGAATACCTGGGTAGTCCCTGAGTGGGGAGAAAAGTGCGACCTTTCGTTTAACTATTAATAAACATAGTTTTATTAATTTCTTTATATCGTAGTTGTTCCTTTTTTATACACTTTATGCGTCAACTACGAAACTAAAACCTATCAGAAGTTTTCGCAACTGCTCGAAGAGGATGCCGAACAATGAGGTGTGTTTTAGTGGACTATTTTGGTTGGCCATTCCATCCCACTCGCAACGCTGCAGTGCTCGCAGGGGATGTGGGAGGCAGCGTAAATGCTTAAGGCGCTTGCTGTGTGTCTGTTTTGTTCTTTTCCTTCTGTGATTGTGGTGTTGTATGGAGGGGCATGGCTTCCGTTTTGCCAACGACTGGGATTGATTGATATTGGATAAACTTAAGCTAAACGTGTCCCGAACACGGACTCCAGCTGGTTATAGTGTTAATGATAATAGCTTAACGTATCAATGGCAGGTTGGGCGATGGCCCAGTGGAAGCCATTGCACTGCTCGGCCCAAGGAGCACCTGCTTCTGCTGCGACCTGTGCAACTCCTCCATTGTGGCGCGCTCAGTCTCAAAGACAATGGGCGCAAACATAATGATGGATGTGGTGAAGAAAATCCATGCTGCATTGCGTGAGAACGAAAATAGACCCTTGCAGGTCTTCACGCTGGTTCCGCCGACGGTGACAACAGCATTGCGCACAGAATCGGGAAACATTTCGGTCAGGCCAATAATACGCTCGCTTAGCGTCTCATCCGGCTCCTTGAGGATGAGCGACAAATATAGAAAGATTGAGGTTATAGTACATTCAAAATTTGTATACTTCTAGAGCCGATTTGTATGTTTACAAACATCAGCATGCGCCATGCGCCAACTTACATCATCGAAACTCTCCTCGGCATCGCGTTCAGGCTGCACATTCTGCAAGTAGATGAAAACAATTAGAAAACGTTTGCCCATCCATTTGTATTTATTATTTTATTTGCTCTTGTGGGGTATAATGTGTTCTACGCGTACCAGCTGTGATAGCTGCAGGTCGGATGGTGCGGCCATTACGTGAGCATGATAAGACGGAGGGGGCTGTTAATGCGAACCACGTTTCTACTTACGGTGGCCACTGTGCGACGCTCGGGCGTCTCGTCTTTGCTGCCGCCTAACGAGGACATCCCGCTATCCTTTTCAATGAACTCAATTTCAGGATCAGAGTCCATCAAATCCTCAATTTTCACAGTTTCGGTATCCACTTTGCGGCTTTATGTTAACACACGGCGAGAAATCGTTGGGTAACGTGATCGCAACCCGTCTATATATGATGCACACTGGACAGGGAGACTTTAACGCAGACAACGGACCTTAAATGCAGTTCTCACTAGCATTTAATTCAGGTTTTAACACAAATTTTCGTTCGATTTTCGTGAAATTGATTTTATTTTGGCCTCGTGAACGACCAGCGTGACCGTCCATCCAAAAAATAAATACTAAATACCATTTCAGTTTCGAGAAATACCATTTAAATACCATACATAAGAAAACCTGGGCAGTCCGGCGATCAAACGAGACTTAACCCACTTAATACCCCTCTATTTAAAAAGTTGAGCACCCTGTGTTAAACCGCGGAAAATTATACTGTTTATAAAGGCTCCTTGTAGCTCCATACTACTCTTTCGGACAAAAAAAAAAACCTCCGACATATTTCACCTATAATGCGTAAAATATTTTAAAGTTACATAAACTTCGTAGGAAATATGAAATACCCTCTGGTCGACAATGGGTTAACGTTAAATTTTATCGATTGAAATTGCATTCCGTAATTTTGATATTCAGTTTAATATTATTAGCTAGTTGGCCCTCTCAGCCCTAAACAAATAATTTTATCCGATAGATGCATCAATTTTCTACAAGATTGGCTAGTTTTCAGAAGTCCTTTTTATTACATTGTTTACATAAAATGGTTCAAAGAAAAACGGCCAAAGCATAAAACGTTGGTGTGTACGAGGTATGCAGAATGTTGCTCTTTCCGGGCTCAAGTTGCGGAACACTGTTGCTCATTGTGACTCTGCGCCTCGATGGCGCGCCGATGTGAGTAATGTACTAGCGCGTTTTAGGGCCGTTAAAGTTCGAATTTAAACCACTAGCTTTTAACGCGTCGATGTTTAGAGCGTTTGTAATTTATTTATCGCTATATCAACTTCACAAAAACAAACCATCTTTCCCCTTGCAACTCACCATTTCTTCTACGCGGTTCGCTATGATTTTTAAAGTTTATTTGAAAATTGTATCTGTTTAAAGTGTAGACTTGTTTTTAGTTGAACGCACAGACGATGAATGAAAAAATTCCTTTTTTTGGATCACTTTCCCAGAACATGTTTGACAGAGCCTACCCAGATCCATCGATTTAGAGGAATAAAACATTCGTTGAGACTGAGTTGGTGTACCGTAGTTTATTATATCGTATCTTGATCGCTCGCCATCTCGCATTCGTAGTTATAAATTATGAAATTATTAAAACCTAAACGAAACATCTACCGCTTTAAGTACTCGTTCGCATATAGATAGTGTCTTAATTCATGTTTTGTTTGCGTTGTCCAGTATATATGTAGTAGTATGTAGTAGGTATATAATATTAGATAGTTTGACATTAAACGTAAACAGCAAGTATATATATTTAAGTAGTACTCGTATATTGTTGGGTTATATAGTCCTGCATAAGATATTCCAAGCACATTAAGAGGTCATAAAAAACTACTTGAATCAAAGACATTGATCGGGTATACATACAGTTGTGTTCAATGAAATAGTAGTGCCGCACCTCACTACTTTCAAAACTCTTTTTGAGATAGTTCTAGTCTTTCAAATTGAACAAGTGATACCTTTACGGAAAGCCTGGAATGTAGGCATTGGATAACCGAAGAAACCCCGTTACATTTGCATTCCATCTTCTTGTTTTACATGACATAAGCCGAATACCCATAAAATATGCTGTTCAATGAAATAGTAGTGTTTTTTTAGAAAATTAAAAAAAACAACGAAACTCAAATAAAAACATATATCTCATGTTCTTCATGTTTCTTGAGCTTTAATTTGTAGTTTTTTATCAATTTGGTTTTCATTGCGAACTTGCACCGGCCGAACATGGGTCATTAATCTCTTGCCAACGCTTCAATAGGATTTGAGCCAATAATCCATAAACCACTTGCTAAAACTAGGCTCTGGTTCACGGATTTGCAGTGTCAACAATGTATTTGGTATTCCAGCATAAGACTTCGATGAGATTTATATCTAGTTGGACAGTTGGCCTTGGAAAAACGTCGATCTTTTCCGATAAAAATCAATTCCTAGCGAGCTTTTCTGGGTATTTTAAGTCATTATCCTGTTAAGATCCTTTTAACATGAATTTTTCAACTGTAATTTGAATTTAATGTATTCTAAAGTATGCCTACATACACAGTTTCGCTCAAAACCATAATATACTCAAACGCCAGGCTAGAAGTACTAGCTTATATGAGCTGGGCCCCATAAGGCTCAGCCTTCCATGCCCAATGCTATTTTTTTCATGATTTTAAGTAGTAATTGAATTTCTGTGAATGCCAAACATATTCTTTTGAGTCTATCTTACCATATAATACAACTTTACTATCATCAGTCAAAAGTATTTTTGTCACTGTGACACAGGCCATTCCACATGCGTTTTCCAACTGAAGTCGTGCACCCATGTACTCTTAGACCCAAACGCGGAGCTTTCTGGGACTTCTTGCATTCAAACAATGTGTAATCAACCGTCTAAGAACCGTCACATCACTGACAGAGCGATTTAAAATTTTTTTCATAATTTTTGAGGATATTAAAGGCCTGGTCTTGCCTTCGACCATCGCCGACCATCCTCTAAAAATAATTTTTTCGCATACAAAATCGATTTGCAGCTACTTGTTTTAGTTAATTGGGTTAAATACAATAGTGAGAGTGCATACAACTTAGTTTTCAATTCCAATATACCTCCTGCCTTAAGTTTTTAGTCTAACTCTTAAGTATCCTCTTCTGGACCGAGCAATGATTTCTTTAACGCTTCAAAATCAAAGTACCGCTATGTCCAAAACTTTCTTTCATCAAATTATTCGATTTTTGAATTGAGCTGCGGATGGTGGCTTATTTAAATTAATTTGCTTTGTTTTTTCATTTTTAAAAATTAATTTAATCTAGCACTACTATTTCATTGAACAGAAGATATCATGGGTAGTTATCTAAAGTCATGAAAAACAAGAAGATGGAATGCAAATGTAACGGGGTTTCTTCGGTTATCCAATGCCTACATTCCAGGCTTTCCGTAAAGGTATCACTTGTTCAATTTGAAAGACTAGAACTATCTCAAAAAGAGTTTTGAAAGTAGTGAGGTGCGGCACTACTATTTCATTGAACACAATTGTACATATATTCATAAAGATCTTTCATATAGAATATAGAGTTGAATAACTTGAAAAGTGTATTGTTTGATTTTTTCAACGGTTTATTTTGTTTTGAAGTCCAGCTTTTATAAATACCCTACAAAAATTTGTGGTTCGCTTTCCTTGTAATTCCCGTTTGACTATTTGTACCTTTGACCTGATTTATATACTTATTTGCTGTCTGTTGCACTTTTCCCCACCTCTTTCGCGTACCATGATCTAAATACAAATATATATATATATTTCTCTGATGTTTCTTTAAATGTTTTTGTTTTTTATCAAAAAGGAAATGGAGAAAGGCAAATGAATAAAAAACTAATTTGAAACCTTCATGTCCTATGGTGAAAAGCTTTGTAAAAAAAAGTTATTACTCGTATTACTTTTTGAACCATGGCTAAGCCGGGACGGCAATATGTAATGGACTTTGAATTTTGGCTTTGAATCAAACAAACAGAATCCTAAAGAAATTATTAAAAAATTAATTTGACTAGACTTTGAACTGTATCAATCAATGTTCATCCTCTACTTGGGCTGTTTCATGAATACAATAATTCTTCTTTATGGTTATCCATATAATTCTGGGGTTTCCTTTCTTTTCAAGTACATTTTGCAATTGAAATAAGTTTTCTTGTGGACTTTTTCTTAAATAAATTGTTAACATTTATTTTCTTATTCTAACAACATTTTGAAAACAACTTTTTTGTTGGGGGATTTTGAAACACGCATACATTGAAAGCAGCATATGTAACTATATTTAATAAGATACAAATATATGGAATCCCAGCTGGGGAACCTCTTCATAATTTTAGATTTTTTTATTAAATATTTTATTATTATGTATGCATGTACCTTGTTGATGCATCCATCACCCTAAACACAATATCACTCACGCTCTCAGACTTATCCGAATATGAAATATATATGTTCTGTTTTTTTTTTCTTTCTTTTGTTATGTGTATGGTGTGTGTGTTCTCTGTGTGTGTGATTGTGTGTATAATTTATAAACCATTTTTCGACAAAACTTACAAAAATAAATCCTAAAGTTTTTCACTTAATTTTGGTGGTTCTTGCTGCATTAACTTAAATGAATAAATTACTTTTTACAATCGAAAAAACTTTCCAAACTACTTTATGTAATATGTATGTGTGTGTGTGTTTGTGTATGATCTGCCTTGCACTTTCCTCCACGCCTTTCTGTATAAATATAATTCATCCTTTAGTTTTGTATAAAATATTAAATAATTTTTTGTTTGCAAATTTTCACTCTGCAAATGTTCTTTCTCATAATAATTTTCCGCTTGTCTGAGTATATCCATAAAAGCTTAACACTTGTGTATGCATGTTAAATGGTTAACCTCTTCCATTGTTTTCCATTTATAATTTTTGTAGCTTTTTGTTTGCTGACCACGCCTCCCATTCCGGGCTGAAATTGCTTACAGCAAAAGTCTCGTAAATTCTGTAATTAAAGCAAGAAAAAAAAACGTTTTCCATTAATTCTAATTGCTGTGAAGCTGGGAAAACAATGCTCAAGTATTCCGGAAAATGGATGAGTGGACAAAAAATGTATGTCAAGCAGCCACATAACCTCATTCACACTTCTATGCAAAAGCTTAGGTGAAAAAGTGGTCTGGCTAACGCTTAGGGATTCTCAAACGATTCTCCCCACAAATATTTATCACTGGGAATCATTTGCCTTGACAACTTCTCCCATTTTACGTAAATCCTTTCATGGATGATACATCGAAACTACACAAAATGTCGCCTCCAGCTGGTGATTACGCCTCCCACCTTCCACAAACCACACTTTCACGAGCATCGCCATCAAGTAGGATCCACCAGGGGCAACGTATCTATACCTATACGTGTACGTGTTGCTCTGACCAATCCTCCAGCCCAGCACAGTGCAGTGTCAGCAGAACGCACAGAAAACAAAGCCAAACAAAATGTAAGTAAGGACAGATACCATGGATAGTATGTAGTACTTCGACTATGGAATGCCCTCTATAACGAGAAATATATTTACTGAGATTTCCCCCAGTTCAAATAATCGTTGGGAGATGGTGGGATAGACTTATCGAATTCCCTTTAATTCTACCAGCACCAGTAACACGTTGAAAGTCGTTGAGTGCTTTTCCCAGGCAGATGCCGGTGCAAAGTAAATAGGGTGAAAGCGAAAAAGGACCGAGTGAGTAAATAAATTGCAGATGCCAGCAAACAAACGGCTGGCGGTTGTACTGGACTTGTTCGATGGGTGGATGGGTGGATGGGTGTGCGGACATGTCAATGCGTTACAATGTACAAGGTCAAAGTATCAGCTGGGCAAAGCGATGGCATATGAACCTAATGATACAATGCAAGGGAATCCAAGCCGATGTCATGGCAGAGGTACATGCTACACAGACAAACCAACATACACTTATTCATAAAAAACAATGCACACACGCGCGCACCTAGAGGCAACTCGAGAGCTCAAGCTTGTTTGTGCGTGTTTGTGCATGTCGCAGTATTAGTTTAAGTTTATTAAACCAATTTAATGCCACTCAAGGGAAGGCTGTGCTGCCTTTCCCTTTTTCGTTTTTCCATAAGCGATGGTAGAGCCGACGGCAGAGAGAGAGAGAGAGAGTATCAAAGGTGTTTCCTAATGGCCATCCGACACTGGTTTGAGGGCAGAACTTTATGCTGAAAACTACTTAACGAGAATATCCAAAGATATCTGATCTCAAATAATTATAGGAGTTTGCTCTTTCTGCTGATCAAATTCAGCTGAGTTATGGCACCGCGAAATTAAACTAAAATTCGTAAAGTTTAATTGGATTACCAGAAGCAGTAGCAACCAGCAACCAGCAAGAAAGGGGCATAAAAACTTCTCGAGTAAACAAGAAAATAGACAGACATTCACACGCATTAAAGAACTTTCGGGGCAGGTTAATAAACTTTGTCGTTTGTCTAGCTGATTTATGAGCGAATAATTTTCGGCTTGCGGTTGGATAAATATTGGCTCAAGGTTCTATTTTATGGCAAGACTTGATTGGGGCCCAGAGAAAGCCCTCAGCCACAGTCACAGCCACAGCTGCAGCAGCAACAGTAAGCCAAAGTCAGAGGCAGAGGCAGAGACCGTAGATGGAGCTGTTTTGTGGCTTTTATATGGGTATGTGTGTGTGTGTCCTTCGGACTGGTTGACTGCGTCAGCAATGTCCTTTATCGGCTGCATTGACTTACCCTCGTAATTGATGCGACCATCCTGATCCAAATCGGCTATGACCAGCAGCTGCTCCAGCTGCTGTTCGTTCAAGGGCTCGCCAATCATTTCCATGGCGGTCTGAAGCTCGTCGCGCGTTATGAATCCATTCCCATCCCGATCGAATACTCTACAGGAGATTTACATATATTTTTTAGTAGAGCGGATATCCGGAAAGAATGTATGAAGGAAGGAAGGATAGAGTATCGGTGTTTGCACTCACCTAAATGCGGCTATCAAGTCCTCGGTGACATCATCGGCCTCGTCCAGGGGTTTGCTGTTGCTGGGGTTCTCATCGTGCTGCTGCTGCTCGTCGCGCAGCGCCTGAATCCTGCCCACCCATTGCAGGAACTCGGCCTCGTTGATTAAGCCGTTTCCTGTAATTGAATCAACGAAAGGAAGAGAGTCAGAGGAGAGTCATCAGCGAGAAGGAGCAAGAATTCTAAGCTTCTCCGAATAAAAAATATTTGAGTGCATTTCTTTGTTGTTTGCGCTCATGTTTCTAGAGGATGATGTCCTTCCATTGCTGCCAGGACAACACGGGAGACTGTAATGCCCCTGCCCTTCCCCCTAAGTACAGTCCCTCCCCTAGAAAGTGCAGCGTGTCCAGGTGCTGGCATTTTGTAAAAAGCATTTTCCGGACAGATCTCTGTTAGCATTAAAAAGCAAAAGCTACATCTCAACTCCCAGCCATGAAAAAAAGAGGGAAGACAACTTTTCGGGACTTCTACCGAAACTTTTACAATTAAGAGCAAAAGATATGCCGTCCGGAAAACCTTTGAAGCCATATCTACGACCTTGACCTTCGGCACAGAAAAAAAAACAGCACGGAAAAACTCAGTAAAGCAAAGAAGAGTGGCAAAGGGAATGGAAGCAGTTGGTGTAAATGGGAATGAAAATGAAGTTGGAATCTGCGATAATCTCTGCGGCAATCGCCAAGCGGTTGGTCTGTGGCAAGTGGTGTATGGGTGGGTGGTGGATGGGTGGCGGATGGTCGGTTGCTGTGAGCTTTGTATATCATTCAAAGGCAAATCCTCCATTTCTAATTGCAATTTGTGTGTAGCCGAAATTTGAATTGCTAATTTGTTTGTAGTTGAGATAAAATTAAATAAAGTCTCAGCATTGGGCATAAGTAATTTAATTATATCCGAAATAAGAATCCCTACAGAGTGTCAGGGATTAGTTCACTGAGCTATCCTTGTGGCATTGGGGAGCATCTTGCATGCAGCAGGAAATCCAATTACATATACTATTTCCCTGCTCTTTTCTGTTATTTTCAAGCACACTGCAGTTGGTTTATATTTGCCCTAATTTGTCGGGAATCCCTTTATGGTTCTCCCTAGCTTGCTAGGGTAGCCCAATCTCTGGCGCAGTTGACACCCCGTTGCCTTGCCAACAATAGACGAAAAAAGTGTTAAATAAAGGCCAAAAGAGAGAGACAGAGAGAGAGAGAGAGAGAGAGAGAGAGAGCGAAGATGAAGGCCGAAACTGGGAGGATGTAGAAATGTGGGTAATTACGAAACGGGTTGCTGGCGTTGAGCCGCCGTTCAGTGGCATTTGGCTGTTGGTTTGGCATCAAAAAAGCATTAAAGGTCATAAAACCCAATGCCCAGACTCGTTCTCGGACTCGGACTCTCGCATCAATTAGACAATGCAGTGCCATCATCACACCACATCCAATGCCAGTGCCAGTGCCAGTGCCTTGGGCCCCAAGCAAATGTACATAACAAATTCCTCACTCAACTCCGGACTTGGGACAAATATTATTCCATCATATGCCATGATGATTGCTTGGGGTATTTGTTCATATGTCGGCATGGTAGTCATACTCGCACATGACTAGGCTCCTGCTCCCTCCCCCCATCATTGTTATGGTGCTCGTTCGCAGAGCTCTTTGTTTGCCTTTTTCCTGCTGCTTTGCTGCTGCTGGTCTTTCTGCTGTTGTTTCCTCTGACATCTGTGTGACATTTTTGTGTTGGCTGCTTGAAAAATATTTTCATTTGTGCTTAGCGGCCGGCATAGTACAACCCGCTCAACCTCTTAGCCCTGAGCCCTGAGCTTTGGCTGTCATTTGGCAAGGGGTTGGGGGAAGCGGGTATGTTCCATATTCTTGATCAAGTCTGTCTGTGTGTGTGTGTGTGCTCGTGGCGGAAGATTCATCTTGCTTCAGAGATGCCTATCCTTTATCCTTGAGATGTTTTCCTTTTCCTCGTATCTGTTGTGTGTTGTGGGGTTTCTTTTTTTTTTTTTTAAATACAAAACTAAATGTTTGCTCGCCATGCACATTATCTCTCGGTCTCTATCTGTGCCTCCTGCTCTGCGTATCTTTCTGTACTGCCTGCAAAAAGGACAAGTCCAAGGATAATGAAAATGGCTCTGTTGTGTAGTTGCTGCCGCCATTGTCGTCGTTTCTCGTGCCATCTGCAATAAGGACATTCTATGGCAGCAGACAGCGAGGCAGGCGCCCGCCTCCAACAGCGGCACAAATATAATGTGGCACATTTTGGCAGTGCCACCCCAAATGTTTCCTGCATAAAGAATTTCCTTTCCTTCCATGTGTGTGTCTGTCTGTCTGTCTGTCTTTGTGGCTGCATACAGATGTCGCTGCTTGCTAGAGTCGTTAAGCAGAAATTCTTGCCATTGATCGATGGTAATGGACCAGTAAGGGCAAAAGCAGCTAAAAATGTCAGAAATGATCGATAATTGTGTACTTTATCGACACCATTCCTAATCCACATTCGAACCATCTTCTATGCTGGCATTTCAGGTCACATCTCAACCGACTGGTAGAAGGAGTACCTGCGCACAATTCTTGAATGTTGAATGGCTGCAAGTCCTGGCTCACATTTTCAATCAGCTCCGGGCCAATCACAGATTCATTTGCTGTTTATTAGCCTCTCATCGCATCCAGTGCGCTGCCAGGCAACGACAACTTGCAACTTGCAGACCCGTGTCGGTGCATCTGTTTCGGGCACAAATCAATGCCCCAGGGGAGTGCCACGTGTGGGCAGGTGTTGCTGTGTTGTTGTGTGGCAACAACTTCATGCCAAAGTGTAATCAATTATTGGCAAAATGTGTACCTGCTGCTGGCCTGGGCCTGGCTGAAGCTTCTGTTGCTGCTGCTGTTTCTGCTGCTGTTCCCATTCCCATTTGCCAGGGCTGACCTCATGCCAGCGGAAACGGAAGTTAGAACGGCACGGCACAGAGGGGACAAGGTGGGTTGCCATGTGTCTGTGTCTATGTGTGTGTGTGTGTGGCTCCTGCTTGATTGTTGCTTTGTGAATTGAAAGGGCCCTTCCACCCGGCCCGAGTACGTGTAATTTGGACACATTTGAGCTGGCAGTAAAACATGCAATAAAAGCTGGCAAACCCACACACACCCAGCCACACTTTGAGTGAGGAGGGGGCGTCCCATGGCTGTCTGTGATGGCAAATAAATTACCTTGCAACTTGGCCATTAATTAAATCTGGCCAAAAGCATTCGCCAATGTTGCCAGCCGCTTGCCGCTGGCCAACGTTGCGTATGCGCAATGCTTAGCTTTGATGGGAATTCTATAGACAGGCTGCCAGGAATGCAGTTCAAGGCTCAAACTGAACTTTGAACTTAGCTGCAGCCCCTGCCCCGTCCTCCTCCGTCCTCCCCCGTCTGGGGGCCCAAGCAAGACATCCCCTACGAGCATTTCCCACTGGTAAAAACTCACTTTCATGTCTGTGGCCCATTTTGGGGGATTTCTTTTTTCACTGTGGCAGCCATTTCCCGTCTAACATTTCCATTTCACTTGGCCAGCAATATTCAAGGAATTTCTCGGTTTTTCTTTGGTATTTTAAGCTGAATTTAATTTGCAGCCTTTCCAAGTGCTGCCTTCCATTTGGGGGGTGCTGCCATTTATGCACACATTTGCCGGTGGCCTGTTCATTGTGATTCGATAAGAGCTCCATTCTCCGTTTGAAAACGGCCTTGAACGGGTGTCGGCTGCCCCGACGACAGTTGTTGCTAATGGGAAATGCGTTCTGCTTTCGAGCTGCGGTCTCCACTCCACTCCACACACACACACACACACACTGCTGTCCAATGGCCAGGGGCAAACTAATTTAACATGACATGGCCTCACCGCCATGGGCCTGGCCTGGCTTTGACACTTAACCACTGCCAAATAGGAAAATTTAATGGCTCCCGGCTGTCGTTTATGGCTTTATGTCCACCACAAAATCGGTGCCACATCTGTGCCTACCGCACGAGAGAATCTCCTGCCGGCTCTCCATGCCTCACATAGAGCCTCAAATTAATTGCATTGTAGCCTAAAAGCATCGACAATTATTTTTAAACACCGACCAATGTCCAGGCCAAGTCCAGGCGTATATAAATTATCAATGCTGTTCGCCCCATCTGACCTGACCTGACCCCACAATTGATTTGACCCCAGTAGCAAGCAGTAAACGAAAAACTGTTGAATGCTCCTTGGACCCTATTTCTGGCCACCATAAAGACACGCATAAATAAGGAACGTAGCCAGGTGTCCATTTAGCAGCGTCAGAATTTCCATCAGAATCACAGCCAAGCAGCCATGGCCTGTCGCCCTCTGAGCCTCTCAGGCAGCGTGTCACTGAAACCCAAGGAATGTTAATGAAGCCATAAAGTGCACGCGTTCACAGCCACATTCAACAGCTTTCGGCCTTAATCGAAATAGAAAAGAAAAACAACCAAAAAACCTCATGGGGAGACAAAGGCAAGTGTGTCTTTGTCTTGGGGACAGCCTCGAGCAGTTTGTTGCCACTTCTGGGCTTATTTGTAGCCAGTTATGTTCTTTCTTTCATTTTGTATGTTTTAAATTCTAGAGTGTGATCCTTGCTGCATAAAAATAACCATCTCAAATAGCCTGCCTTTGATGGAGTTTGCTAGACATCTGAGTGCCTATTATTATTGAATGTTCTGCGTAGAAAGCGTAAACATAAATCATTCCCGTCGCTCCTCTGCTCACTTTAAAACTTTAAAGCACTTTAAGGACAGTGTTGACAATTGCCACAACTGTTGATAGGTCTGATTGATTGATTGGTAAGTCTGATTTGGACACATTTAACACTTTTGCTTTGTATTTATGTCATTACAAACAACAATGGAGGAATCCGGAACATATGTCAGGCGCCAAAGTCGCACTTAGCAACCATTTTTATCAATATTTTCAGCATTTTTCTGCTATTGTGTGTCGTGCACGTGTCGCTGCTTGTGTTCGCGGCCTTGTTTGTAGATAAACTTAAAGGATATCTGTGGACAGACAAAACGCGGGGGCGTTGGGGCCACAACATTTGTCTGTCGGTGGCAGTCATCAAAACAGGTCTCTCGGTCCCTCTCCTCTCGATCCACCTCTCTCGTTCTCTCTCTCTCTGTCTCTTGCTCTCTTCCTGGCTGCTATGGATGTATGTCTGCGTGGAGGCGGTGGCGGTGGCTGTCAGCAACAGTTGCTCGCTTTTATATGATAAATGTCCGTGTCCACAGCTCCACTGCTCCACTGCCCCAGCGCTGTACGTGACCTCCTTTAAATTTACAGCATTTGCAGAAAACTTCCCCCCCATCGATAGAGCTCCTAATGCATTGGACAAATATTGAAGTTACCTGGAGCAAAAAGAAGCTTAAGTGGAATTCAATTTGCATCCGATACGCTTGACACAAATGAGCATTGAGGCCACGCCCACATCATGCACTTGCCAATGTATGCATTGTAGTCAGATATACGCCTGAGTATATGTACATTTTTATGTACGTACATAACTGACATGAACACGTATTCGGCCAGACAACAATTGCATTTTAATGGGGAAAAATTTAATTTTCTGCCAGGTTGCCCTAATTTGATTTAAATATGGGAAACGCGACGACCAAGAACGAAGAAGAGAGCTAGAGAGCTGACATGAAAAGGAAATGGGATAAATTATCCGTAGAATGCCCAAGAATGCAACCAGAGCCGGGAGCCACCCACACTCAGGCACAGTGAGTAGCAACTCCTATTCAGTACATGGGAAAATTGCATTTTCTAACGATTAAATTAAATAAGAAAAACGTCCGGACTGGCGTGGCCCGTGGGGCAGCAACAAATTGGCTTAGGGCGGATCTTTTTTATTTTGTAACAGTATAAAAATATTAAAAAAGCATAGAGCTTAGTTTACTTGACTAAAAGATACCCTTTAATCTGAGTTTTCGTTACCAAATCAAAGGAATCAGTTAGGGGAAAGTCTACTGCGAGTGCTAAGAGCTCAAATGGATATTTAAATGTATTGATAGAATATATATAGCTAAAGTCTTGTTAAAAAAATTAACACAAGTAACAACACAGCAGCCCAGTACTACAGCAGGAAAAAGTATTAAAAGGCTATTTCCTAGCATACTTATTGGGTGGCATTCAAGTTATTTCCTCCTTAAACTGTAGTTATCTTAGTTATTCCTAGAACCCAAGGGAAATGTCAAGCCTGGAGAGTTCCACGACCAAACAGATGAAAATACATTTCACCTGCATACTGGTATTTGCGCTCGGCCAAGTTTAAACTTGATTAAATGCCAGCAAAACCACTTGACATGCTCGGCTGAGTTTAATTAAGGTTTCAAGCCCTCCTTTGCCTTGGGCCTCGCACTGCCTTTCAGCGTCGCTTGAATTATTAAGGACCAGCCGGCAGACCAACTCTCAGTGGAGGGGACTAACTGTTGCACTCAGTGTCTACAGGTGGGCGTTTTGTCAGAGGGAACTGGCCCAACACTTTGTTGCTGTTGGCTCTTGACGTTGCCGTTTGCTGTTGAGTGGCACTTACCTGAATGGCTCGCCTCACGTATGAGATCGTGTATGATTTCATCACGCACATTTATGCCCAGGTTCTTGAGCATAAACTGCAGCTCGTTGGCCGTCACGCGTCCGTCACGGTTTCTGTCTAGTAAATCGAATGCTGTGCGTAGATCTGAAAAAAAGTATTTAAATCAAATAACTATAATTCAAAGTAAAATGTGCATATAAAATAGCAAAAGCATTTCTCGGAAAGTGCAATCAAGCGGTGATTCTTAGCATTTAATTGAAGTTTTGATTGCCAGACCCCCACAGCATTACGTATGCGTCGTGTGGGCGAAGCAAACTCAAGGGAAACCCTAGGTGAGTACTATTTATGTGCATATTAAAGGGCAACAAATTGCGTCTAAGGTGTTGCCCTAAAACACAAATTTGTCAATGAAACACAAACTTAAGTGTTTGCTGTGGAAATGCGTAGTTTCTTACGCGATACGGAAAGCCCTCGCAAACAAGGGGGCAGGATATGTTTTCGGGGGAAACCCTCTTAATGTTTGTTATTTCAGCTGTTACTCGTATAGCCATAAAATGTGGGAAAAACATAGCTCAATGGGGTAGCAAACTGTGCCGCCGTCTCCTTTGATGTGTGTTTGTGTGGGAGTGGTAACCGTTGTATGAACTGAGTCGGAATTTTCTAGGGCTTAAACTCTCTTTCTGGGCGGGGCCTTGCACAATAATTAAGGCCTTGTCGCGGCCTTCTCTGTGGCATGCCAAGACAAGACCTCCGTCAATGCCTTGCGGCCATAAAAAGTTGCTTTATCTGGGCCCCTGGCGCTGACTTGCTGAACTCAATGCCATATCGATCAAACTTGCAGTTGGCTGGCTGCAGAAATCTCAATAAATATGAACGCTTAGCTAAAACTTATAATTCATTCCAATCGCGCTTAACTTTGCGCGCAATTTGATTCGTAATTTGGATAAATACCACTGCTATTTGGGTCACGAATACGGTGGTAGGGAAACGGATAGGTAGGGGAAAAAAGCGCAGAGGTGAACCACTGAAAAAAAACAACTAAAAATTTTTGCCTCCATGAGCTGCCACCCCCAATCCCTAGATGGCTTCCGGTGGCAAAGAAGATATGCGAAAATTGCATGTAAATTGCTTTGGGCCAAGTCTATTCTCCCTATCGCTTTTCCTACCCCCCCCTCCCTCCCTGTTACAGAATGTGGAGCACTTCCGTTGCCTTGGCTATGTCGAGTGGCCCAAGTTGTGTGCCTGTGTGTGCCTGTGGGTGTGCATTTGTATAGTTTGTAATTGCACACGTGTTTATTCTTCAAATATTGACACATTGACACCAATATTTCACGCTGCAACGTCTGCAGGCTGCCAGCCACCGCTGACAGGTGTCAGAGCAGTGGAACATATTGAGGTTGCCCCCGCCTTACGCCGGCCCACAAGTGATTGACATCTAGTTAAGTTGTAGTCAAATAAATTCGAATTTGTTGTTCACTTTGTTGCAGTGTTGAATGTGTTGCGTTTATCGATTGTTGTGCGTGGAAAATGTCATCGCAAATTAGTGATGGGAACGGAACGTCATCCCCGTTAGTTAAATATGATGACTCTGGCACAGAGTGGTTGGCCTTAGCAATTAGGAAAACTTTTTAATTGCAACATTAGCTAGGGACAAAGACCTTTCTTCTCGCTCCGTGCGTGCCCCACATTTCAAGGCAAAACTGAAAGTGCACTCAGGCATAAAGTTGGCAATCTGTAAGTGTCGCTGGGAAACTAATTGAAGGGACAGCATCAACACCAGCAGAAGCAGCAGCAGCAGCATCAGCATCAGCGATGTCCCTGGGAGACTGAGGTGTGAGTCATTTTCCTGTGTCTGTTGCTGCATTTAAGCCATAAAACTTTGTGCTGAAAACATTTCTTGTTTGCCTCGCTCCTTGTTGTCTGTTTAGGTTTTCGTTCGGTTTCGTTGTCAATGAACTTGATAATTGCATTGCATTGCCCTCTGTTGGCCCTCTGTTGGCCCTCTGTTGGCCCTCTGTTGGCTCATTGGGGGGGTACCATTGGGCTTCCCCCGGGTCTCATTTGGGGAGTGAAATGTAATTGAGTTGGAGCAAAACAAACTTTGCCAACACTTGCACTAGCGCCAGCCAAGCCCACATAGGACATGGGACCAAGGGCCCTAAATTGCACTTCCACTGGCTGTAGTCGTAAATAACGCTTAAAAGTTAAAAGTTCTTGCAGAAACTTTACCAATCCACCCACACATACTCACACTCGGACGAATATTGGCAGCAGGAGATATTCCAAGAACTGTGGGTGGCATGGTGGGCTGTATGCATAAACCAGAGTGGCCATGAAATGTGGCCCTATGGTAGTAGCAGGAAAGTCGTTTATTCGGCGGAAATGCTGCTGATGTGCTGGTCTCATCTTGGAACTCGTTCAAGGTTATGGTTTGTGCCGATATTATGTGTAATTTATTGCCATGTAACCTTTCAGATTATAGCCCAAATAACCTTTGGTATCGTTTTGTTTATGTGCTTAACCCTGACCTTGATTGAATCTCTGCAGAAGCGGATGTTTTTCTCCTTCTTTCACACTTTCCCTGATTTATGGCCTGAATTTATTTCTCTTGCATTGCGAATTTCAATATCTATTAATAGCCTGCTTGACAATAAACCAGGTTAGTCCCCTTTCATGTCGGCACATGAATTAAATTATCCGAAACAAAGGATGCTTCAATACTTCGCGCGCGCTTTTCAACACTTCAAACGTGTCAAAGTGAACAGGGCGGCGGAGCTGTTCGAGTGCCTCTATTTGTCACAAACACACACACACACACTCCCGTTCCCTTCAAAATGGCGTAGCGTACGAGCGTGTGTGCGGAAGATTGCAGAAGAAAGAAACATCCTGAATGTTGGGAATTCTTATTGCAAAGTAGGGCACACACACGGACACTGACCATACGCCATAAATGTGTGTGTTTTTCCGCTCGTGTGCAAATCGAACGTAATATTCCAAAATGCGATAAATAAGACGAGGAGGACTCCCTGCCGAACCATAAAAAATATAATGAACATATAAAACAATAATAGACTTGGTTGCTTGCTGGTGTCCCAGCGATAAGATATGCTGTGGGAATTCACAATAAAATCACCAGAAAACAGAAACAAAACCAATATGAACAAGTCAAAAGTATAAATTTGGTGGTCGAATGTTTTGACACACTTGCAGATAGTGTAACTTGACTTGATCATTGCATTCGACTAAGCTAATTGGAATTTATTATATTCACAAAGAGAAATCTTTCCCTAAGAGAATCTTTTTATTTGAAATGGGTATGGATTCCATTTTGCGGGTTTCCAATTTCTATAGTTAGTTAGCATAGATCCAGATGGATTCTTCATGATACCTAATGAAAGATACTTCTTTAAATTACAAAACTAAGCTTAAAATCATAGCATCCTCTGGAAGTGTATCGCAATAACAACACACACAAAATTATCGTGTTGATTAGATTGGCACTGTCATTCGTGTTTTTCTTTGTGTTTGTATTTGAGTTTGTCTTTTTGTGTGTGGGCGAACGGGCGGCGGTGATTTGGCATGACACACGACTCTTTGTTGCCGGTTGCCCTGCTCCATATCCCTCCCCCCCTGCGCGGCTGATCTAATTTGTTTAAACATTGTGCACATGCATAGTATATAGATTTTCAGTGATAATTTTTTGCTATACCCCCACAACATCATGTGCTCTGTTAGCACTCCCATAGAAATGTGCGAACACACGACCCGGGGATAAATAAAATAGTTAACAGGCAAAATAAAAATGGGAATATACGATCTGCTGCAGGACGATTGTATCACCGCTTAATATATGTTAAATATGGTTAAAGATTGTGGAATAATTTATGCTGTAAGATAAATAAGTGCTCCCACGTATGGCATTTTAATGACTAATATACATATAAGTAAACTATGTACCATCAAAAAAGTAAATATTTAAGCATTTTGAAGTGTGAAAATGTCTTAGAATATTTTTAGAATAAAACGAGTATGTATTTAACAATTGTTAAACACAAATAACAAATATTGTAGTAGGTATTAAAGAATCGAAATTGATGTCCATACTTAGCTCACCTCGCACTTCACTTGCGATTTCTTTGTGATCCATTTCAGTTGCTTTGTGTTCTTTCTTTCTTTCCGTTTTAAATGTCTTTTTTTATAGTGGTTCTATATAGTATTTATAGATTTAGTGCGCCTTTGGACGCCCGTTTATTTGCACGATTATCTGGCTGTTAAGATGTTCTTTCGTTTTGAGCTCTTTGGCAATTATTACTTTTACTTTTTGCGGATGTGTGTACTTTTTGTTTGGGTCTTTTCTCTGCCGTTCAATGGGGCGTATGAGTAAGTTGCGCGATTTGTTTATACACTTTCAAAAAGTTCTCAAAGTTTTCTCTTCAAAAATAGCAAACAATGGATATGATTATTGTTGATCTTGGCAGAGCAGCGAATAAACGATTTTAATTAACCTGATTCTGCATGGATTTCTTTGTGGAACTACCCCATTAAATCCCCGCAGCCCCGCTCTATACTAGCCTGTAGCATTAATTGCAATCAATTACGAAAATGATGTCCGATGACTGAATGAGGTTAAATGCCAATGTGTTGTTTGGCCCCAGGGTCAGGGTCCAGTCCTCCTTTGACCTCTTCACGTCACATACTTGTCGGCTTTCATCAAATGAATGTATTTTGCCTCGTACTTAATATTTTAATAAATAATATGCCTAGATTGAATACATTACTTGTAAAACTTATAAAATATTTCAAATTAAGCAAGGAATATTTCATTTTTCAAATGTTTGGTGAATAAATTCACAAGAGTCTCTGGCTAAATAGCTTTGACAGCTGTGAAATGTATATCAGATGGGGGAAACACTCATTTGTCTTATCAAATTTCCAAGCAAATGACTCTGACGCATATTTGTCATGCCCCAAAGAATGCCAATTAGAACTTTTGTGGACATGTGGACAACTGCTTCTTGCATCTTTTGCAAATGCAACTATTATGTTACCACAAGTGACATAACAGACACCGTCTGGGTTCTGGCAACAGACCCTTGCAGCCAGACACAGACTTTAACTTGGAACCCATCCAGACATAGGACACAACACTACCATTAAATTACTTTAAATGTGAAACCAATATTATTATCTCTTCGATTACCATATAAGTTGAGTTTGCGTTAATCTGATTAAATTACGCCGCTCTGCCAAGAGGTTCGGTTCACTGCGCGGCGACTAAACTTCGAAACTGATAGCCGGATGGTGGAGATAGCGATAGATAGAAGATAGATAGGCACACCGATTTTAATCGGGCTTAGGTTAGTTGTTAGTTGGGGACTTGACCACAAAGTGGGGACTCGAACTCTCCGGTCGCGTCTTCTGTTGGCAATCGCGTCGACTTCGAAACTGAACTGAACTGAACGGAACGGCACCCAGCGGAACCTCATGAATGGCAGACAGGGCAGGCACCATTGGCAGCAGCTTCGGGTGGGTGGTGGCTCCATGATAGGCGCCAGCCCCCCATTCGGTTCTGTTGCCGTTAGATGGCGCCTCGTGTTCGTATGGCTTCGGGTGCCGTTCGGTCTCTGGCTTCGGTGAAATTTCATTCAACAAATCTGTTTTGTTTTTGTTGCTGCTTCTGTTTTCATAACGTTCTTCTTCACACGAAGAGAGCCACACAGACGGAGCGCGAGAGCCCCTTGTGCACTCGTTTCCCCTCGCTGGAATAATACCAGTGCTTAAAGTAAAGCGCATTCACGTGATAAGTTTCTCGTGTTTTGTGGCTGGTTTTTGTTTTTTGCGCGCTATTTCTGAAGGACTTTTCGGGGCTTTTTGTGGAGCAAATGCGAGTATGATAAGGCACATTCGTAATAATTTATGGCTGCACTCTTGACAAGTTGTCGATGGTTTTGAAGCAAACATAAAGTAACAGATTTAAGTGATTTTCGGGTAGGTTATTTTAGCAGACATTTTTAAAGTTTCCACACACACATCTCGCAAATCATTTCCCCTGAAACACCCTGTACGCAGGTAAGCCCCTTAGACAACATCCTATAAGGAGAAGACCTTCCAGTAGCCTTGCTATGAAAACAACAAAAACCAGAGGAATGCACTCTGTGCAGCATTCATCTCTCACTCTCGTTCTCTCTCTCTCTATACATCTATGTATGTACAGTATGTTGGAGGGGTAAAGCTCTGGAATGACTGGAACCGCTATCTCGCTGTCCCTCTTCCACACATAGGGTAAATAAAAACGGTTTGTTTGGCTCAGCGAATATGTGGAACAAAACAAATTGACGAAAAACAAAAAAAAAAAAACGTTGTTTGTGTCTCTGAGAGAGAGCGGGAGAGCGGAAGAGTGGGAGAGTGGGTGGGTGTACAGCAAGGCGTAAACTACGAATATGTAAGGCGTTTATGCAACGAGTTCATTGGATTTTACGTAACTCACAATTAAATGGAGATACCAAATGGATTTACATGGAATTCGATTTCATTTTCAGCTAATTAAAAGAGTTCCCTCCCACTCGGAAGTCTTGGAATTGGGCTCTGCTCTTTGGACAAATGAGTTGTAATCCGTTAACAGACGCCTGTCCGCGCTTGTCTTTGTTGTGTTCTTGATTGAGCGCATCCTTAGTTCGTTCAACTCCATTGTGCACCAACTTTTTAATGAAAATTGATTGCCAAAAGTTTGAGCACAGAAGAGAACAAGAGAATGCAGGCCAAAAACCCAAAAACCCAAAACCAAAGAATCAACTATTTCCGCACAGAGCTCTCAATATGTGAAGCTCTACTGCAGGGTCAAACACGAACTACGACGCAAAAAAAAAAACTTTGCCAGACCAGATTAAGGCGTAAATTGTATTTGGAATAACGTATTAGTTGGGGGGCTCGCCTCCCACACCAAACATCACGGAATGCCTACGACACCCGAATAATGAGGTCACGTGCCGAGGCCAGAGGGCACCGCCACCCACGCTGGACGCCAGTAGCCTGATATATGTACATACATATGTATGTATGTACATATGAAGGTTCATATGCCGGATTTTAATACCCAATAACAGACACCACACCACACAATCCTTAACCCTCTCTATCGTTAGATGTGCTTTTCGATTTTCACGCTTTAAGTGTGGAAAAATGCACCATAAATTTGATATTTACGATGCGATTGGCCATTTAGAGATGCGTTTTCACTGAACCTTTTTTTGATGGGTTTGTCAAGAGCTTCGACTCTTGTGCCGTGTGTACAGAGAGTGTTCCACTCCATGGAAGTGCAACTTCTGCTGCTACGAGGACCTGCATTAATATTCAGAAATCAATCCGCGGCGTCCGTTGCCATCATCAAAATATTTCAAACCCAAAACGTGCCGGCTGCACGGTTGGGATATAACAGATAGAACGCGAAGGGGTGCAAGTGGGTTGCAGACAGCTGGAGTGCGAGTGCAATGGAGCGGGACTGCAGAGTGCCCGAATCTTTGGAGTACTGGCAGAGTCACGCACATTCTCATAAGCAGACTTCAAATACAATTACTGGTTTCGTTTCGTTTTGATGTTGAATTTATTTACGTGACCGAATTAGACTCTTTTTCGTTCTTTAAATTTGTATATTCCAAAAATTCATTTTCAATATGAAAATTAATAAAAGTTCAAGGGCTAACAAAGCTCAATGCTGTATGAAAACTTTTTTATGGATAACACTTCACGATCAGTCCGCAAGTAAATACTCTCAGCCGGCGGCAACAGTACCCAGATTTATTGGTAGTGCGTGACATTTAAAGTAAGATGAAAACTTTAAAGCCACCAACCAAGCGTTCTCATTTTTCCGTTTTCCTTCGTATTTTTCCCGGCTAATTGCGGTGCCTTTCCATAACGCAGCTCGAGTGTCAAGCTGAGCATTTTGTGGCATAGGAACAAAAAACCGCCAGAGTGGCGCAACCATAAATCAGGATGCAGGCGTGTCCCCTCAAAAAAAAAACAAAAATAAAAAAAAAGAGAATAATATATTGTGGCGGTGGCTGTCTGTCAGCCTTCATCAGCGGGGAAAATGAAAGTGGCAACAAATTAACTGCCAGGCCCACCGCCCATCGCCCACTTGCCAAACACACATGCACGGACACGCACAAACACGCACGCGAACGGAGATAAATTGTCGAGCGATAAGTGTTAGAGAGAGAGAGAACAGAGCACACAGGAAAAGAGAGAGCAAGTGAGCGACATACGTGGCTGGTGACAAACGTTTAATTAGTTTTACAACTGTGTCGACAAATTGGCACGGCCTCTCTGTCTCCCAAAGTGGATTGTGCTGTCACCTCTTTGCTCTGACTAATTAGCAAATTTTCGGATGTGCTGCAATCAACACAATCGGTGGTATCGATAGCCGGCAACCGATAACACGTCTAAAGTTCGCTTTCAAGTTTACAGCACACGGCACGCGGCACACGGCACCGAAGTGCTTTTGGCCAATACTCACACTTATCATCTTTGCTCATATTTCCAATGGACGCTAATTTGGCAGCGTTCCAGTGATTGTGTGTGTTCCAATGGAGTTTTGATGTATTGGATTGGATGGATGGTTGCGATCAATCATCAATGCTGGAGAGACACTCGGCACTGGCACTGGCACTTCTAGCCGCTACATAGGCTGGCAATACTCTGGTTAAGCCCCGAAATGCTGCACGAATGCCAACGCTTGCTGCTTGCCGCACGATTTATCTACGAAAACTCCAAGATAATGAATAACTGAAATGAACCGACTTTTGCTAGGGTTCCCTTTTCTCTCTCTTTATATCTGGGTGTGTGTTGGCCTGGCCCATGTGCCTGTGGCACCTCATATATTGTATTATATTTCATTTCAGATAACTCGCTTATCAGTTATCAGCTGATGGCAGCACCCAAATCTGGGTGGGGACGTTGTTGAGATGGGGGTCTGGGATGGGCCAAGCAGTTGTCTGATTTCATTAAGTACAATTCTATATGGCGTAATACAGTAAGACGGACACTATGTAGACTATTTGCTCTCAGTTATTGTTATTATTACTGTTCTTATTCGTGTTCTTATCGCTATTCCTGTGCTGTCAGATTGTTGAACGACAGACAACACTTCGAGAGGGGCCTTAGCCTCAAAAAAAAAAAAAGCGTTGAATGGGCTTGTCTTGGTTTCTATATGGGACATGTAGTAGGTACTTCGGATTTATTCTGCATATTTATTCGTATCTCTTTCGTTCATGTCTACCAAAAGTTTCCCCATAATACATTTCATTGCATGAGTGTTGAATTAATATTATTAATAAACAGGTGATAATATTTACTACCAAAGCGATATGAAAGGCCGATTCTACAGGGGAGTGTCATGCTGTTGATACCCTATCACATTTGTGGTTGAATAGAGGATAAATAGAGGGTACCATCAAACGTTGGTGCATCTTTTGGCTACTAACGTTATAACCTCCCCCATAGTTCTACCATTTTCCAGATATGGATACAATAAAACCGTAACACCCAGCACTTCAGTGACTCACTCCAGCCACTTTGTACTCCACTTTGGTGCAAATATTTGCTGGATATTAACAGTCTGACAGGACAATGTCATGTGAAAGTGTCCGAAGTGATTTAAATATGATAACTTTTGCTCGAGATTAATTTTACGTGTCATCCAAGAAATGTGTCACATGGCTGATGGATGGCCTGATGCTGCATGCTGACTCCACCACAGTTGGCCAGAAACCAAGAGCATCTTATCTGATCCACACACTTTTCGACGTAAATCTCTATAGCCATGAGTGTGGTTAATTTTACATAGTACTCGTGGTGGCTTTTATTTCCCCGCTAATTGGGCACGTGATGTGTGGGTGTCGGCTATCTCTGCCTCACCTTTTGCCTTCTACCACCAATCTGGCCGTATCTGGCCCAAAAAGAAGGAGGCGCGCGTTAATTAAATTTCAAGTCGATTATGGCTATCATGATTAGATTATAGCCGCATTTCTACAGGCATTGTTGTTTGTTGAAAGCGACAAAAATTAATAAAAATACCTCAAAGCGTGTTATGGTGTACACTCGACTCGCAATATTCATCTATCTTTGAGTGGCAGTGCACCTGTCGTGTCCTGTCCCGATCGGCAGGCCGCTAAAATTAGTTTGCCGCACACTTAAAATTATATTTTTAGCAAAACATGCAAAAGGCGGTCAGCACTTTGGCCAGTCTAAATTTGAACAGAACATTGCAATTCGATGTTCTGTACGCAGGTTACGTATACACACGAGTGGGCCTGTCTGAAAATGGTAATCCCCTTAAGGGCCGAACAGAAGATAGCATACGCAGATAATAAATTCGCTGTATTTATTCATACATCAATTATAATCTGTGTAAACCTCTATTCTGTTCGAGAGTTTCCCCCTCATATCAGAGGTCACTGTTCTACTCTCTTTGTTTGTGCATAAACATTTCATTTGTTGTTGATTTTCAGTGAATTACCTGTAATTTCCACCTCTGTAAATGGTTTCTTTTTGACAGACTGCAAAACGAAAGTGAAAATTAAACAGATTAAAGATCTAAAGATTCTGAATTTTCTGGATTATATTGTGTTTACCTTGGTGGCTCGCTTGCCCAGCAGTGCTGTTCCCAGCATCTGAAAAATATGCACAAAATAATAAAAATACAAATTAAATATACTACGAGTATATTTGTATGAAATACAGTCAAGAGAAAATGTTAGTCGAGGTAAAGAGAAATAGCGTTGCATATTTTTAAGCGGAAACGTCTGGGCTGAGGGAGGTACGGAATGGAGGCAGATAAAGATATTTGTGTATTTCTTTTACATCTTGTCCTAATAGACTAATGTCTGGCACAACTGGCGATTTATTTTTGACATTCTGTTTATTACGTTGTTATTTTAGCACCCATTCTATTTTTGTTCGATTTGGGATCGAGGGATTCCTAGCATTTGGGCAACAACAAACACCCAACAGAAATGCAAATGCATTCAATTATCACCTCAAACCACAATCCCGATGCAAAGATCACTTGATTGGGTTAGATTTTGTATAAGTTAATTAATTGTGGGTCTTTGAAGAAAATGTTTTTGTGATTTTACGTTTTTTTTCTCCCCCAGTGGCAAGTATTTGGGCAATTTTCGATTAATTACAAAATTGCACAACGAGAGTGCTAAAAATATACTTTCATATGTTTACGAAAGTACTAAGTATATAATACAATATCAGATTTAAATATGAAAGAGTTTCCTCCACAGAACATTGAAATTTCGCATTTATTTCTGCCTCAGTGAAATGAAACGAAAATCGATTAGCGCTTAATTCAAACATTTCTGAATTTGTTTATTTCGTGTCACGTTTTATTTTGTTTTGTTTTCAATTTTGGGTTTATTTTAAGTGAATTTAAGGTGCAGAAATATCAATTGGTAAGTTATTTTGAGGGGAAAGGGAAAGTGGTAGATCTCTATTATTATGAAAAGATGTTCTATTAATATCTGTAGCCTTGATTTACCTACTAAAGGCAGTAATTCGTTTTTACTTTATTAACTCATCTTATTACCAAACTAAAACTGACTTAAATTCGCATATTCATTGTAATTCAGATTAACATATGTACATAAATGCATGCATGGTGTTATGCAGCCTGTGCTCTCTTGGCTCGAACGGCCACTCTGCAAAGCCTTGGCCCAGGTTAGTTACCTCCCGACGGAAAACAGTTGGTCAAATATCGATGCGGGGCATTGTTCACGTGCCAAGTGAAAACAAATTAATAAATTTACACAAAAGACTGACATATTTAATACTCGCTTAATAGCATTTTTCGTTGACACTTTTCCACTGAAATGTACCTGCTTTTTGTTCGTGTTATACTATGAATGTATATGTAGATTCTATAATCACTTTTTTATGCGAATATTATGCCTTGCCAAAAGCATAAATTTGCGTCTTGTTTGTCAACATATAGTATGGAATTTTTGATGGGCTTGGCAGCCCTGAATTAATATTAATATATCTACTAATAAATATTGCCAGTAGCTAATATCCTTCACAACACAATTTGTTGGATGAAATTCAAATATAAAAATCGAAAGAGTAAAGAAAATTTAATAATCGCCATTGTTTATGTTGGATTTTCCGATAAACCATTAACTTTTAATTGCCATGAACAGCATTGAAACGCATTTCGGATGCCCAGAGACTTGGGCATTTAGAAGCCATTATGGGCCATCTCCCATGCCATAATGAGTCCCAGGTCTCTAGACTCCGTTACGACACGAGCACGAAAAGCCAATTTGCCAACGGCACATGTACATATACATATATAGACATATGTATATATACATCATGCATAGATGTATTGTATGGCTGTCTGTGCACTTTAATGATGTGTTCTGGCTACAATGTTATTGGCTGCGACAGAGACGCGTTTTATGGCCCAGCCTCCATGCATGGGGGAAATGGTCTGTAATGCTGTCGAACGACTTGAGCGGCGTTTATCGCTGGCAAGTTTTTACTTTTCCTCGTTTAATGTTTGCTTACATTTAAAACAATTGACTATAATGGAGAAAGGTGCAACTTTGTTGGTTAAGTGTGACAGTAATCAATCGCAAATCACATTCCTATGCAGGAATACCACTAATCTGATGCAAACTGAACTAATTGGCAACTCTGTGCATTGTCATCAAATCATGTGAAATTGGTTGTGTCTGAAGGGAACTTCCGACAGAATCTTGGTTTCCCAGTCATTCAGCTTTCAATTTCCAATGTGCAAGGAACATCAGCTCTCAACAAAGTAAAATATTTTCTTTTAACTTTTGTTGGAAAAAGTCCTGACATAAGTCTGACAAAAGACAATCATCTGTCTGGCCATCTATTGCAGAGTGAGCTTTTATTTTTAATATTAATGTGTATTAATGTGTGAGTGTGAGTAAGTGCGAGACTTGCATACAAACTATTGAAATGTAAGAAGAAAATACGCGTGGATCGCGTTGAAAAAAAACGGATAGGCAATTTCTTGCTGCTTCTGACATAAACAAAATCTTGCGCGTTCAAGGTGTGCAACATTTCTGCTGAAGGCTGGCTTGCTTGCATTTGTGTGTGGGCAGACGAGTACGTGCAAGAGTGTGTGTGTGTAAGAAGCGAAAGCGAAACGGCAGTATTCCACAACAGATTTTTGGCAGTTTCTTTTTTCTTCGTTCGTATGCACATATGTGTGCGTGTGTGCAAGTTTTACTGGTTCCAAAATGAGCCAACAAGAACCACCGCGATTCATTGAAAGTAGCAAGTCACATTTTAGTTTATTTTTTTCGAGCATAAGCTGAGCTCCTCTTTGAATTTGTTGAATCTTTTTTCATTTCCAAAAAAGGTTTTCAATAGCCAAATTCCAATCGTTTCAAAATGACAACAATCGAAGAATTACCAGACAAAATGGTAGCTTACCATTACATAAATGGAACAGATGAAGTTCAAGAGCTATCGCTTTCGGCCAAATCGATGAAAGCCATTTACAAGAAAGTCACCGGCGGGGAACTAAGCGAGGAGGTGGCCCAAACAATTGCCGCGGACATGGCCAAAGAGGTTTTTGAAATTCTGGAGACTGTGGAAACATATGCATATCACAACCGTAGCGATGAGATAACGGAGGCAGACGTTTACCATGCCCTCAAAAATGACGCCAAATATGCCAATGACATTTTATTTGATCTTAAGAAAGCTCATGCTTATACTAGGCTGCCTGCAAACCTGGGAGCAGGGCAGGAGCAAGCTCCTACCGCTGACACTTCTGATTCAGCGGTGACAGCTGGAGAATCGTTGACCGAATATCGCACGACTGGCTGGCAGCACGAAGAGACAGTGCAACTGCAGCCCCCCACTCAATGTCCGCTTACCCAGGAGGAGCAAGTCTTCTTCAGGAGAGTCATTACAGTATGCTTTGCACAGGACGAGGATGAGCGTGTAAAAGCGCTGAAGTCACTGGAAGTAGATCCCAGCCTGGAGTTCATACTGCCCCAGTTGACCACGAGCATGGCCGACGGCATCAATACCGGTCTCTTCAATAAGATAACAGATCTGTGCTTCGTTGTACTTCGAATGGCCAAAGCTCTTGTGAAGAATCGCAGCATCACTTTTGACCAACACGTGAGTGGGAGGGAGTAGTGCGTGTGTGCAATCAGTGACTGATTATTGATTATTGGGCTATATTTACTTGCAGTTTCATCTCATCCTACCTGGCATACTCTCGTGCATTCTCATGCAGGAGGCATTCGAGGAGGATGACATTGAGGGCGATGAGCTTCACTGGGACCTCCGGGAATTCGCAAGTGAATTATTGGGCGATATGGTGAGGGTCGCCAAGAACTACAATCTCATCGGTCGCATTATTAAGTAAGCAACTGACTAAGCACTGACACCTCCCTTGACTGTACAATACACACTTTTTTGTATGCATTTCAGTATGTTAATTAAGGGAATCCGCGATCACGAAAATGTATTTACGATTTTTGGTGCCGTCATTGGATTTGGCCAATTGGGAAGTCTTGTCGTAGCAGACTATTTGCTACCTGAGCTATCCAATTTATCGGAATTTCTGTACGCCGGAGGCAGGGACCCCAAACTTGCAAAGGGAGCCATAATGAAAACCTGGTGTCGATTGGTCAAGATAACTGCTCCGGTCGTGAAAGCTTTAACCTACTCAACCGATCCAATAGCCAAATATGTTGAGCTCTATGGTCGTTTCGGCGAGGCTCTGTTCTTTGTGGTTCTTGGCATTCGTGGAAGGGAGCAGGAGACCGCAGCTAAATTATTAGTCAACTTAGTATTGAAATCAAAGAAAAATCATAAATGCCAGGAGGGGCCTACAGCCGAATTAATGGAACGAGAGCAAAATTCTGACTGCGAGAAGGTTAATGCAGCGACAGGAGTAGCCCAGGTTGAGGAATGTGAAGTGGATGTGTTGTTTTCGGAAGGAGTAAAGATAAATGCCAACTCCAAGAAGAAAAACTCAAACAAAGCAAAAGTCTGACTTCGAGGAGGCAGCAGCACGGAAGAAGGAAGAGGCAGACAATGCAATGTCCACACTTGCAGCACAGCTTAAATTTTGATACGATTATAATATTGTTATTGAAATTTATTTTTAGACAGCGCGCAGAGTGGCAGACCAGGAGAGAGATCAACAAATATTAATATTTGCCCATAAGAAAAGAAATAAACATATTGTGTATGCATGCGGGGCAGCAGCTTTAGCACCTGACAGACGGAGAACGAAAGTTTGTTGCCTTCATTGAGAAGCGATTAAGCAAATATTTAGATAAATGCGAGTCAAATTGGCTTGAGTTGAGATCGTATCGGTGTGGTGTGGTGTGGTGTGGCGTGGCGTGGCGTGATGTGGTGTTGGTGTGGGTATGGAGTATCAAAATGAATGGATCTCCAAGGTTCAAGGGTGCAGTACTCACCTTCAGCTGATGACGTAGTCCACTCATGGGGCTCATTCAATATTGAGGATGCCGGAGATGAGGAGGAGATAAGCAAAGCCTACAGCAAATGAGGTGGTGCTTGGTGTGCCGGTGGCGTATGTGTGATTTTCCGATGAGTGGGTGGGTGCCGCTTTTGGCCTAGTTTCAGTGCGGATTATTTATCGCTTATTTGCATGAACTTAAATGGACTTTAAATATGTATATTTTCGCTTGTCGGCACTTTCACACTTTTGTACGTATTTTGATTTACTTTTAAGTTGAATCCCAAGAATGTCTGATAACTGGGCGACTTATAAATACATATATGTATATATATTTGATATATAAAATTCTTCTGCGATTATTAATGGTTTGTTTTTTTTTTTGTGCGCAGTAAATAAGAATTGTCGCTTTAGAATTTTTTGTATATTTTAACGACTCGATGTCGTAGTGCGCGCGATGTCGACGATCGTCTCGCCACGGAATCCCAAACAATATTGAACAGTTTGCGGCGCTCCAACGAGCTCGAAAAGCTGCCAAAAATGAACAGTGAAAAGTTCGGAGAGAGCCAGAGATCTCTCTGTGCCTCTCTCCGGGGATCTTACGGCACCAAAATTTTGAAATCTCGCCTCTTTCTGGGATTGCCATTTTGTTAATTTGAATTGTTTTTGATTTATTTTCACCAATTTCTTAGCCTGTTCCCGCGCATTGTCAACAAGCTTAGCCGGCATCGCATTTGGATCTTGTGACGAGGCGAATTGTGAGTCTAAATAAACATCTGTGCCATCAGATATTGCAGATTAATACAACAACAACAACAACAAAAGTATTGGCAAACACGTTTTGTCATGTTCGTACCTACCATTGAGCAAGTAGAAATTTAGTTATATTGAAAATCAACAGCATGAGGAGAGCATTACATATATAAACGGTGTGGGTAGGGCAGGTAGGCAGCAAAGGTTATATTTAGTCACAGGCACAGACTCGAGTCATTCAACCCGGTTGCACAGAACAGAACAGAAGCATCAGAGCATTGCAAGTGCGTTCGTGTGCCACACTGCGTATGGTTTATTTTTAACGATTGACAAACACCCCTCCTCCTCCTCACCAAGAAACTTGGCATCGGCCACACAGCCCAGAGAATCTTTGATAATTTTAATTAGGAAGCTGTCGTGGACCGTTCAGGCGATGCAGGTAAAGTCGTCTAAAAATGACACATTGCTCACACGCAGGCTGTTGGGAGAGTGTTGTTCTCTTCCATTGAAATCTCCATCACCATTAATTACGAGTACAACTCAAGTCGAGGGAATAACCAGGCTTTTGTGTTGCATCCATCATGGGGAGCCCAGCCATCAACGTTTTGTTTGGTGATTTATTTTCGTATTTTGCTGGGCTCTTGTTCGGCTACCAAATATTGTACTTTATCGATCATTGGAGCTATCAGTGAATGACTTTATCTCAATAAAAACACACAACTTCCTCCAGCTGGAAGAGCAGTAACTAACCGGAGGAAACCAGAACCCGATTGAGATTCATTCGGTTATTGTGTTTACGATCTCATTATCAGTTCATAAAAGCATCGGACAGCTTATTTTTTAGCTTATTTATTTATGGAGTATTTTTCAGCAAATATGTGTATTAAATTTGCCACGCGTTAATCAGATGAAAATGAATTTTCCGCAAGCGAATTATGGTGAAAAATCATTTTGCTCTTTAGCTTTGCTCCTCCAATGTAAATATTTACAGTGTTTATTTTTAAACCATATATCGTATACGTGCATATACATGTATAATGCTATACCCCCCGTACCCCGTACAAGTTATGATCGTGCCAGATAAGTATTATGAAACGTTCGGCCCGTTCACAAACGCAATATTTTATTTTGATCGAATAGAACTCGTGATTTTCTGTGGGAACCATTACATTGGTCGTTTTAACGGGCTGCTAATGAAACGCTGGAAACGCTTGAGCGATGTTTAGCAAGCTGGAAATGTCGCACATTATTCTGGCCTCAATGGCGGTTGTATGCAGTGATATCATCGGAGCCGCCACAGAGCGATGCCACAAAATTCAATTGAATCGCTGCTATTGCTGCCAAACGAAGCATGAATAGCATTTAAGGTCAAAAGGCAGCTGGAGCGTTGCAATAGCAAAGCAATTTGCACTCCAACTTTATTCTGGCAGCATTCTACGCCTATCAATAACGCACACTTACAGCGAACGGATTGGCACTGTTATCCTCTTGTTCCGCAATTTTGACCAACGCACAAGTCCACAGCACACACACGAGGTAGAGAGCGCGGGAGAGAGTGGGCCAGCCAGAGACGCGACCCCTTTTTGTCAGCTTTTCCGGTGTGTTGCCGCCTCGCAGACACTTTTTGTACTGCTCACAGATTTGTGGATGTCTCTTCGGCTTGTCGCCTCTCAGCTAACACCATCCACCACATTCAAAATGATCGGTCAGACGCCACGCCAAATCACATAACATAAATAAAAGTCCACAAACGACACGATCCTAAACGAGATGATCATTTGCATGTCAAGCAAATCTCTGATGTGGGTGGCACCAGCACAAGCAGAACAAGGAGAACCAGAGCCACAATTATTTTGTTTCTGCTACTGCTATTCACTGTTATTTTGAAATTACCGTTGCGTGGGACGTGGAGCTCGCCTGGCAATGCTTTGTATCCGTTTTAGTCATTGTCTTAACTTAACACACGTACACACATGTTATGTCAATTTTATCACTTATTTATCGTTAATGTTTTCCATTGAAAAGCGTAGGAATATTTCGAAAACCGCCTATTTGTATGCCTAATGGGAAGTTTTTCACTCGAACTGTGATTTATTTCTAATGGAAAGCATTTAAAATTAGCCACCGAAATGTGATAGAATCATCGACTCAGCCAATTGCGGGAATAGCTCTAGCAGTGCTACTATTTATGATGGCATTCCCATTAAGACCATTTGCACTAAGCACGGCCCAATTTGTAAATGGCAACTAATTTGGACCGTTAGAAACAAAAAAATAAACTATGAGGTGAGCAGAAATCAATAGGATTAGTGGTGCTATGAGGTATGTTGGCCGTGATACGAAGGCTGATGAGACAGCAATTCAGTTTAAGGCAATTATTTGGATTTATTATAGTACTTTCCGTTAGAGTAGATTAAAATGGCTTAAATACATAATACTAGGGCCTGCCCACTACGATATATAGTCAAAATTGATTTGTTGTGCGCTATGCCTCGTTACACTAGTTTGATTCACTATCAACTACATATCACAATTCGGATATTATCTGTATTTAGAGTCTAGTAAAAACCTACGCTAATTAATGCCAAAAATAAGTATATGTATCATCAATTGGACGGGAATTCCCAGTTCCCAAAAGGTACTCGAATAAAACTAATTGTAGTGTCTAAAACTGTGTCCTGTAGTGTGGAAGTATTTGGTTTCGTTACTAGCTGATCCAATGTTAAAGCTAATCTAATGCGCTTGAAGCCTACAAAGCATTTGCATTCACCATTTGATGATTCTGCAGTACGTTGTCGTATCACAAGGGTTCTCCAATCCCCTTACACCTGCATATAGCGGTAGTTGTCGTTCGAACAGCTGGACCCCGACCCGGATCCACCGCGATAATTGCATTCGCTCAATTTTACGTATTGCCCCAAAAAGTTGAGCACCAAGACGCTGCGACAGAGGGCGTGCAGGCAGCCCAACAGATGCGGCGTCATGATCGTGATTAGGATGTAGGCCAGCTGCGGCACGCGATCCGTGTGTCCCATGGGACACAGCCAGTAGCCGCGCCGCACAGCGTCACGCGTATGATGTGTGATGAAGGCACAGAGCAGGGCGCCCAGCAGCAGGCTGGTGCGAAAGTAGTTCAGGCACGCGGTGCATATGTAGAACAGCAACATGACCACAATGATGCTGGAACAGTGTAGGAACGGACGACGCGACAAATTTGTGGCATCCTGCAAAGAACAAACGACATTCAAGCAAAGAGTATAGTATGCCGTTCGAATGGCTACGCTACTCACCTCCAGGTACAGCGAACGGGCCTCCACAAAGTGATCCAAGTCAATGAACGATGACACAACGAAACAGGTGAAAATCAATATCCAGCCAAATAGTTGCGTGGTCCGCTCGTAGAATTGCATCGAAAAGGCGATGCCGGTCAGGGCGCCGATGGCCGCGTGCGTTGCATTGTCCGCCAGGGCCTTCAGCAGCGGATGCTGGGTCAGCTCCACAAAGTTGTCCCCCAGCAGGCACGTTACAATTGTCAAGGTTGTCAGCACAATTCGCATATAGACCATTATGTGGCAGTGGGGCATCGATTGCGGTTGAGGTTTTTCGTTCGTGTTGTTGCAGCCGCCGCAGCCGGGAGTCGTTGCTCTACTTTGATTTTGGTTTTCGGGAGGCTGCTGGACGGATTGGACGGAAGGGCTCTATCTACACCGCTTTGATTTTGCACGTCCACGTAATCCTCAGTGATGTTTCATGACATGGTGTTTAAAGTGGATTTTTTGTGAAATTCCTGTCTTAGCATATTAAATTGTTTTTTTGTTGTGCTTGCGAACAGCTGTTGTCACCACCATTATCCACCGGTCTGGCAGCGCTTAGACTGGTCACACTGTCAGCTGATTGCCTGGGCGCCAATAATTTGTTCGTGTTTTGCTTAAGTTTTACATAATAAATTCCGAGTAAATTGCTGGTTGTATTTGTTATTAGCCAAGCCAATCGGATGTTTTGTTCTAGACTAAATGCCAGCACGTGTGTGGTCATGTGTTAGTGTGTCTGATTGAGTGGAATTTTCCGTTTTGGTTTATTTCTGGAACGCAATATCATCACACCATACAAAAAGCTCTCTCTCTCTCTCTCTCGATCATTATAAAATGATAAGACTGTATATATATGTGTTAGTACATCAATCTTTAATTAACATTTTAATATCAACAATATTCATGATTTTCAGCTTAAAACTCGATGTTGAAGGGATAATTCTTGTTCTTGATGGCATGCTCCATGGGAATGAGACGCTCTCCAGTGTTGTACGTGTCCAGGACGGCATGGTCCGCGGCATCCAATTTGAAATCGAAGATCTTAAAGTTCTCTTCAATGCGCTTCGGGTTGGAGGACTTGGGCAGCGGCACAGCTCCAATTTCAACCTGTGGAGGACGAAAAGTCAGAACCAACTGTGTCGCAATTGCTAGCAAGTACGTACCAGATAGCGGAGCACCACCTGGGCCGTGGACTTCTTGTACTTGTCTCCAATGGCCTGCACCTGGGCGTCGTAGATGTAGTTGGGCGTCTTCTTGGCCGGATCGGGCCTGCCCAGCGGACAGTAGGCGGTGACCACAATGCCGTGCTGCTTGCACAGGGCAATCAGCTTCTTCTGGTTCAGTGCGGGATGGCATTCGATCTGTCCAGGAATATGAGTATGTGTGGGTTCAAGAAAGTGTTACCCAACACCCCACCGCAAGCGACTCACCTGATTGTGGATTGGCTTGATTTTGCAGTTGGCAAGCAGGCGCGTCAATTGCTCGGAATTGAAATTGGAGACGCCGATGCTTTTGGTGAGGCCCAGCTCGACCAGCTTTTCCATGGCGCGCCAGGTGTCCACATAATCAATGTCGCTGTAATAAGAAAGCCCCCGGTGAGTGCCTACCGCTAGATAACATCTGATAACCATATCTCACTTCAGTTCAACCTCGCCCTTGGCATCTGTGGGCATCATTTCGCTGTCGCCGCGATAGACGTAGGAGTAGGGCCAGTGCATCAGGTACAAGTCCACGTACTCCAGCCCAAAGTTTTGCAGGGTCTTGCGGCAAGCATACTCCACCCTCTCCGGCTCATGGAAGTGGCACCACAGCTGGAGAAAGTGCAAACGTCAGCGTTAGTTCTGGCTACGCAGCACACCCACACCCAGCACATCACATATGCAAAGGATACCTACTTTTGTGGTTATGTGTATGTCCTCGCGCTTGATGACTCCCTCGGCTATCTTCTTGTTGACGGCCGCACCCACCTCATTCTCGTTCTCGTAGAAGAAGGCGGTGTCTATGTGCCTGTAGCCCACATCTATGGCATGCAGCGTAGCCCGCTCGCAATCGCCTCCCAACGACTGCCGGACAATTGTAAAGTCATTTAAAAGTGAGATATACAACTGTACGCGTCTGGTCTGGCATCTGCGCCCCCTTTCTACCGATAAGCATTGTTGGTGCTGCACTGATCGATAGTGGAGGCGCGATCCGTTGACGTGGGCTGGGCACTTACCGTGTACGTTCCCAGTCCAATTGCTTGGATCTGTGTGCCGTTGTTGTGCTTAACGTACGGGATTTTTCCAGCGGACATCTCGGCAGCAGCGTTAGAATCGGAATGATTGCTGTCGCAGCTTGCCTGAGAGCGTGTTCATGTTCGTGCCTGTCGAATGCTGGAAAAGTTCTGACAAAAGCTTTTGGCGCTTTCAAAAGCCCCAAGTAGCTTTGAGTAAACTTTTTAACGGCTATTTAAGTGTTATCTTTGTGATATTTTCAACAGGTTTAAAGACTGTTACCACACGATTGAAATGAAGAACATTTAATGAGGTAATTGTAAAATGTTTTTGCATTAAAAATTCCAAGAATTTAAATAGTTTGCCTATATTTCAGAGCCCTATATATCTAAGCTGTTGATATGCTGCACTTCTTGGATGCGCCTTCTAACGACTGTCCCCAATTTGGCCCACAAATACCGCATATAGCAAAGCTCACCCCATGGACTAGCTTCGTCTTTAGCTTCTGTTCGGTTCCGTCGCTGGGCGCATGATTGAGCTTTGGCTGTGGGAACGGAACGCCTGGAAGTGGCACAACATCTGTTATTCAAAGAGGAACAATGTAGTGGACCTTGCCACCTTCGCAGGCCGAGACTGAAGGAATTTTCGTATTGCCTGGTGAGTTTTTCGTGTTTTAAAGTGTTTGCTTCCAACAAATCGAAGCTTAGCTTACCAAAGTGCTGATAAAGTGTGGCCTGACAGTGAGTTGAAGATGGGTGGCACCGAAAACAGTTCGAATTGCTTGGCAGGGCGAAAAGTCTGCTAAGGATAAAACGAAATCTGGGGTATCTATAAATACCCCGAAGGTAAATAGACCAAGTCACGCCAGGTAGACAGACGTAGACTGCAGCAGGCTGTCTCCAAGTGCATGTCGAGTCCTCATTTTGGCTTGGTTTGGTTGGGTCTGGAGAGCAGTGAAAGACTAGGGCTGAGCTGAAAATTAATGTATTGTAATTTCAGTATACGCATCACGCCTACAACTGCGCATGCCCCAGCCCCCGTTGGAGTCTCAACCCAGTCGAGGCCGAGACGCAGCAGCGGCAGCAGCAGCAGCAGAAGCAGAAGAGGAGACAGCAGCAGGTGACAGCAACAGTGACACCTTGTGTGACAGACCTCAAGGCTGCCGCCAGTGCTCCGTTTGACTGGGAATGGCCGCCGTGGTCCATGGCTGTAGCAGTCCCCGGCAGCGCTCCTGCAATGGCAGCAGCTCGCCGGGTGCCCATCACGGGTCCACGCCCTCGTCGGGCCCTGCCATGTACACCACCATGCCCAAGTATTCGCGAACGGCCAGCCAGACGCTGTACGCGACCAGTCAGCAGATATTTGGCAGCGGGATGGGAGTGAGCATGCCAAGCGATGGAGCGTACGGCAACGGGCCGATCTACATGTCATCCGGGCAGCGTCCGTTGTCAGCATCCGCTCTGCCAGAGACGGCAGCGGCCAGTCGCAGCTATTGGGGCCATCATGCTGCCTTCTATCACGGCGGCAGGCACTACAGCAAGCGCAAGTCTGCGGTGGAACTGCTGGCCGAGTCCAAGCCGTTCTACATCAAGTCGGATGCGGTTTTCGAGCGGCTGCAGCAGTCGAGCTATCGGAACGGTGGCAACAATGGTGCCGGCTCTAAGCGGGGTCGACGCCCCGAGGAGGCACACGGTGGCCATGGCGCACACGGTCATGGCGGCGGTCACTACAACTCGCAGGCATACGACGATCTGGAGGACCGCCGATACATGAGCTTGTCCCGACAGCAGCAGCACCAGCAGCAGCAGCTGCAGCAGGCCCAGCAGTACATGCACAACCAGGCACATCATCCGCATCAGCACCACCAGCATCGGCACGGACACGGTCATGGCCAGGCCCAAGCCCAAGGCCGTGCTGGGGGCGCGGCTGTGAACAACAATCTGCTGCAGCAAAAGCTGCGCATGCTGCTCGGCTCAGAGGCCGTCAAGGAGAGGAATGGCGGCACCTTGCGGCGTCACGAACTGAACGACGGCAGTGCCGAGCTGCTGCCAACAGACTATGGTGAGGACGAGGGCGGAGCAGGGCCAGGCGGAGCCCTGAGGATCCCCCCACCCCTCTACATACCATCGCACGGCTATGGGCGGGACTCCTCCGCCTACAATAGCGGCGGCGAGGAGCCGCTCGTGCTAACCGAGAACTACAGACCAATCAGTCCGCCGGCCGAGTATGCTGCCAAGTCGGGACAGGCGCACAACGATCGCTACAGGTGAGTCGTCAGCCATACCAAGCCAACGCTGAATTGGGATTGAGTTATGATATGATATGCTGTCCCCACAGGTACAACTACCAGCGTTCGTACTCGCACTCGCACGAGGTGCCCCATGCGCCGGAGGAGCGGACTCCGTACGCTGGCGGGGACTTCAACATCAACAGTCACAAGTCACTGCCGGATCTGCACACCCAGATCAGTCGGCACTCGCCGCACAGCGAGATCCTGAGCTGCTGCAGCCGTGGCAACCGATCCATCAAGTCTGCCGGCGAGTCCTCCATCAATCGCGACTCTGGCGGCAGTTCCGGCCACTACACGCACCGCAGCGAGCCCTGCTACAAGCGCGAGCGGCAGCGAGAGCCCAATGTGGGCACAGCTAGCGGCACAATCAAGAACTGCTGCACCCTGGTGGCGGCCACGCGTCGGGACAGCGGCTCCTCGACCCAGCACAGTGCAAACTCGTACTGCGGCTATGTGACGCCCGGTGCGGACTATCCGTCGCTGAACGGCCGCAATACTGTCGAGTGCATCGACTGTCGCTGCAAGCAGGATACGGCTCCATTGAGCGGCGGCTATGACAATGCGGCAGCCTCGGACTATTTGCTCAACTTCACGCCCACGCCAGAGGTGCCGGAGGCCTTCCAGGATGACTACACACCCACGCCCCCGTCGCCAAGGATGAAGACGCAGACGCCACGCTACTCGAGCTCCTCCAGCCAGCAGCTGCACACCAGCTCGCAGGGCTACACGAGCATCAATCACTCGCAAAGCTCCCTGGTGCAGAGTCCCGGCTCGGCACCCTCCGTGGACGACATTAGTCCACCGCCCATCCAGTTCAAGCGGCAGCGCTGCATCCGCTTCAAGAACCGCAACCGACTGCCGGTGCAGCCACAGCCGCGCACATCGCCCATCAACAGCAGCGGCGTGGAGATGGGAGGAGGACCTAGTGGCGGTGTCTTGGCTGCCTACAAGCAGCATCGGGGAAGCGTGGATCACGACAATGTGTTCTTCCCCAAAGGTTTCTCGGCAGATGCCAGCTATTCCAGCGCCCACAGCATGGAGATGGAGCGCGAGGCGCTGAATGCCAGCATCTCGGAGCTGGAGAAGTTCTTCGATCGGCTGGGCCTCAACGACGAGGCCTTCCACGAGATATACAGCCAGCCGCGCAGGCAGCACAATCCGGAGACCGATTCCGATGACTCCAGCACGGTGTTCTTCTCGGACGTGAGCACCGTGGACTCGATGCGGCTGCCCGACAGCACCGAGACCCAGCCGCAGACCACACAGACCTATCGCCCCTCGGAGCCGCCCTCGATTGTGGAGCGGAATGCGCGGATCATTAAGTGGCTGTGCAACTGCAAGAAGGTGGCCGCCCATTTGCACTGATAGAAGAGCACTCTTCCACTTCCACTTCCAGGCTTGATTCTTAGCGAGTATTTTGTCTCTTGCAAGTAATCCCCCTCCCCCCCAATAAAACCAAATACAATATATACACAACTATATGGTAATATATATACTAAAATAATGCATATAACGGTATACATATGTACGTGTATACACGGCTCAAAAGTCAAGTCAAGTTCATGATTAGAAATCACCTACCTGTACAATGGAAACCGCGGAAACGTAAACGGAATTAAGAATTAATTCAGAGTTCAGAATTGCAGAGTTACGAGCTACGATTATGGATGTGCGTTTCTCCTCCTTTGCTGCATCTGATTGCAGATCAATTACACCATTGATATTTATATTTAAATTTATATTGACATTGGATATTGGATATTGGATATTGATAATGATATTGTACTACTCTACTCGTAATGTAATCAAATAGCAACCGATCGTTCATATTACTCTTATACACAATACAATGGTATTATTAGATGAATTATTGTAAAATTAGTTCTTGTAATGTGCATGTGTGTACGTATGTATGTATATGCCATGCATGCTATACATATGTATATACATACGAGTATATATTGTATAACTAGTTGCCAAAACAAACCACAAGCAAAACAAAACAAAACACAAAAGAAACCACAGAACAATTGAAATTGAAATGAACCTACCTATTTATGTAATTGTACATGGTTTGCATGACGAATAAATCAAATATTTACGATTATCAAATTAATTGAAATATATAGAGAATCAATTAAACGTGCCTGAGTTTCAATTTTTGTCCAAAAGTAGGCTTTTCAAGTGAAAAATCTACAACTGCCACAGTGTTTTTTCACTTTGTGTTACATTCACTTTCGGGGCTAGCTGCCTGCCTGCCTAATTCTCTAGCTGCGAGCAAAATAAATTGTGCTTCGAACTGACGTTCCCCAAGGTAGGCTTTCTGCATTAAATCAAACTCAAATTTAAACAAAAAATATTATTCAAGTCTGAACTGGAGCGCCACTAATTGTAAACTTCTAAAAGTGTTGTGAGGAATAATCAGATACAAACAAGAAACCAGAAAGATGAGGTAAGCACATGCACCAATATAATTACTTCAGAAGGAGTATTGAATGCTATGCTCGTGTGTCCATTGGCAGTGCTTCCGGCGACGGTGATGCTAAGCAAATAATTGTTGAACCATTCCTTGATCTTTCTGACGAGTCCAGTAGTGATGAAGTGGAGCTGACTGGCGGCACGGCAATCTCACTCAAAGACCCGTGGACAATGCGCCCAATGAAAAATCCACTTCGTAACAAGATTTGCAACCATTTCTATGACAGTGACACGGTCAATGACTTGATCAAGCGCAAGGCCCGCGTCCAGTGCCCGGTCTTGGGTTGTGTCAACAAAAACTTCATCACACGGGCTGACCTGGTGGAGGATCGCGATGCCGTTCAGCAGGTTCGCCAGCTTAGCCTCTCTCCAAACCAGAAATCAGTTACATGTACAATTGATTTAGTGGATGATTCTGATTAATACCGTGTAATGCTGTGAAAATGAATAAATTATAATTCATAATTCATAAGCACATATGCAGAGTATGCTGATGGATATTATACATTGATTTTACATCGAAAATGTCTATTCTACATTAGTTTTACATGATGTCATTAAGGGTTCAGCCAAAGAGTATTCACCACAATTTTAATTCAGTTTAAATTCACTAAAACTAAAATGTATTTTCTTTGGAGTCAGTTTTGAGTCATTCGTCGTATATGGGTCGTGAGTCCACTGTTGCATTGATAGCTCCAGCAATTGTTCTCTGTCGCGGCTGGATCTGCCGTATGTGGGTCATTGAAACACCTGTGTGCGACTGCTACTATATAATGGGCTGTCAGGCAGAGCATCGATATCAGTGGATAATTCTTATTCGTCCATAGCCGATATGGGGAAATTCCTGCTCTCTTTGGCTGTGCTGGGCTTCATCGCCCTGGCAGCGGCACACACGGTAAGTGAGGTCAGTCGAAGGGCGTAACATTATCTTCGATCCTGAAATAACTGAATAACTAGAATCCCTGGGAACAGCAGCCTCCGGCTCCTATTACGGTTAAGGTGCCAGTGGCAGTTCCTGTACCCGTTCCTGTACCTGTACCTGTTCCCACTCCCGTGAAGACTTCGGAACAGGGTGGTGGAGGTGGAAGCGGCGGAGGCGGCGGTGGTGGTGGTGGAGCCGGTGGCACTTGCCCCAAGCCATCTGGTGAAACGCTGCGGGTAAGTGCAGATTAACCAAATCCATTCGTGATACTCAAATTGAGCTTGCGTTGCGTTGTGTTGTGTTGTGCATTTGCAGTGCCTGCGGGAGTGGGCCTGTCAGTACGTCATTCGGCTGGATCTGCGGTAAGTGGCAACATCCGGTCTGTCGACTGCCAGTCCCTGGCTGGCTAGTGGCATTCCCTCATATACTCGTACTATACGTTGCAATGCTTTGACAGCTGCCTCCTCAACTTGAATGGAAACCCCTTGCTGGGCAATCTCATTTCCCTGCCAGGACTCACCGGCGGCGGCGGCGGTGGCACCGGAGGAGGCACCGGAGGTGGCATTTTGGGCAGTTTACTGGGTTGAAGCAGCTGGAAATGTGTGCACATTTTACCCAATAAAATGGAACCCAACAAACTCAGTCGGACGACCGGGTCTTGAGTATCATTGGGTGGGGAGTATTGGGATTGGCATTGGGATTGGAATTGAAGCTCCTGTTAATGGGCAGCCAATAATCCTTAGTATTGGCATTGGTGTAAAAATGGCGATAATCGTTCACATAATCGTTAGCTCGATTATTGTTTAAGCGCTCGTTTGAGCAGCATCGCAATTAAGCGAGCAATTTTCAAATTAGCCAGCACGGGCATGGAAATGGAAATGGGAATGGGAATGGGCAGGGGCTAATGGTGTCCCATTCTGTCTATTCTGTGTATTTTCTGCAATTGAACTCTTGGCCTTTAACCGAAGGAGCGAGGAGAGGCCAAGGATGTGGTCTTTAAAGTATTGGCAGCGAGCGAGCAGCCAGCAGCCAGCAGGCCAGCTTGTGGAGCTGGCGTTCGAATAAAGTCGCAAATCATTGAAGCATATGCAATTATTCATTTTGAGGTTGAATGCGCTCGAACGCACACAATGATACAAGCACACGGACCTGGGCATCCATCCTTCCTTCTGTCCGTCCGCCAGTCCGTCCGTCTTTCTCTTTTTCTCGGTGTGTACGTGTTCGTATCTTCCGTGTGTCCGTATCCTTATGTGTATGTCTGTGTGCCTGTGTGTCTGTGTGTGTGTGTGTGAGTGAGTGGGAGTGCAGCGAGCGCAAAGGAAAATTTAAATTCAGGAGCAGTTCCTTAAACGAGGCTGCCCCATAAAACTCGCTTTTACTACGCATAGTTTTCATCTCCTTTTCTTCTTTTTTTGTGCTACTCTTCTTTTTTTTTCCATTTTGCTGCCATTTTGCTTTTAATGCCCTCTTGATTGCAGCCTTCGTTGGGGTCTCTTTTCGCTGATTTCGTCTGAAGATAGTCCGCTCCGGACTGCTGGGGCCGCTCCGCTCCGCTCCATCTTGGTTAATCCATCACTTGCATCCACAGCTCAATAGTCTGGGTGCTGTGCTGGGCTGTCCCATTTCCTTTGCCCTTTTATAATTAACTTTATGTGTATGTATTTAGTTTTATTGCTCGTTAGACAGCCTCCGCGCCGACACAGAGACAATGAAACAACAATTTGTGATCGCCCCCAATCACCCAGTCCAGAGTCCTACTCGTAACCAGCCCCAAGCACCAAGCAGCAAGCACCAAGCCAACCCATCTGCCTCCATCGACCTCCTGCCACATTATCAAGGAGCTGGAGACCGCAACGTGTGTAGGCCATTTTGGAGTTTTACTTTGCCATCGTCATTGCCACACAGCCGTTGCCATTATATTAATTACAAACGTTTGCGCCACAGCTTCCAGCAACCAGCATCCAGCACCCAGCAACCATCCACTTCCTGTCCGCTCCTGCAGCGTCTGACCCTCTCCGCTCCCTAATGGACCCAACAAGTAAATCACACACAAAGCTCTAAGGCGATTTCGGCGACGGAATTGGAGACGCAGCCGAAGGGACCGAAATAATTTCCATTGAATGTGTGAAACTTGTGCAGCTCTTAACGAGCTTGGGTCTCTACTCGACTTTGAGTCGGAAATTCATTTAAACACGGCAGACACTGGGCGGAATAGTGCTGAAAGCCTCTGCACAAATTCTGGCCTGGCAGATGCTCTGCTGCAGATTCCCTAATGGACATATCAACAGCTTTACTTCGATTGCTGTGCCATCGAAGATGGGAAGATCTTTAATTACATTGAATATATTTCCATTTCCACTTTTGCCACACTTTTTATTCACAATATTTGTTTAATTTTTGTTTGTCACTACTTTCGGCCCTAGACCCAGAACTTCGCCTTGTCTATGGGGGGGTTTTATTTGATGGGGATAAATTTGCAAACTAAATAATTTAAGCAACAATTTTGTATTTATTCAATTGCATTACTCCTTTGCCTGGGCTTTGATGGTCTCAAAGCTGGCAATATCCGACTCTGTTGAGCTCTTCTCAGTGGATGTCGCAATCGTTGTGGCTGGGGCGTCTCCACTTGGTGGACTTGTAGCTGCCACTTCGGCGATCTCGGTGACCAGGCTCTGAGTGGAGGAGGATTTTGACTAAATAACTATAAATAGAGCTATGTACGGGTATATGGCTATATCTCACTTCTGACTCGAGTGCCTTGGACTGACCCTCGTTGAAGGCCTCTGCCAGACCGGGATGGATTTCGCTGAGGGGCTCATTCCCGTGGCGTATGTAGACGGGCACATGACCTTTGCGGGGCTCCAGTTCCTGATAGGGCGCCGCTAAGAAAATTTTAATTACAAGCCATTAAATTATTTCGTTGTCGCTGTTGCCTGTCGCTGTCGCTGTTGCCTGTTCTTCTTATCAGTTGGCTAATCTCTTGCCTGGGCTATGACATACACCCGGAAGCCTTGAATCACGGCAAAGCGTAATTATGACTAACGAGCCGCGAGCTCTGTGGGGTCGGTCTTGGCAATGTTAAGAGTGTTACTCGATCCCTGTGCAAATCTACGCCCCTGTGCCCAGAGCCAGAGCCCATTCTGGTGCTTTCAGCGGGGGGCGTAGAAGAGAAATCATCGAAAACCTGTTTCGCCTCGCCCCACAAACAATAGAAATGTGATTCTCAAAACAGATGTGTCCCCCCCCGCCCCACTCCGGCCATAAATCTGTTTAATCACATTTAGTGCTAATATATTATCTAAATGCATTCGGTTTACTTACCCCGAATGACACTGCAGAGGGCCAGCAGTGCGAGAGCTGCAACGATGAGGGTGTTCTTGGCCATGGCTATCTCCGGTTGACTCTTTGCGGCTGTGTGTTTTGGCATGCGATCGACGTGACTCCAGACTCTCGACTCAAGACAGATCGGCCAGCAGCTGGGCTTAAATCCGACTCGCCGCAATCAACTTTTGCTTGGCAAATTACTCATGGGTAGCATCAGCAGCGGCAGTGGCAGTGGCAGCGGCAGCGGCACCCGAAGCTTCAGGGGCAGGCAGCATCAGCAGCAACAGAGTCGTGGGAAGCGGCAGAGTGAGAGGCGGAGGTGGAGAGCCAGAATGATGATGGCTCCGATGATGGCTGGTAATGAAGCTGTCGGCGGTGGCGGCGAACTTTTCAAGCTGTGGCGGGGCATAAAAAGCTTTCGGAGCTGCGGCAATTGCCAGGCTCTGTGGAGTGGGAGTGTGGGGTGTGGGGGAGTGGGGTTCTAACCTAACATTTAGTGGCCTGTGGCGTTCCACCACCCTTGCAACTTCCACTTCTGCCACTTCCTTCGCTGCTGGCTCTCCAAATTCAAACATTCTTTTTTTTCTTCTTTTTTTTTTCTTGTTTCAAATTAATTGGGTCGTTAGAGAAGCCATTTGCGACGGCTCGTCTTTTTTTTGCCCTCACTCCCCCCCACGCCCCCAAACGAGAGGTTTGAATTGTTTGCCCACTTTCGTTTTTGTTGAGTATTCAAATCGAGAAATTGCTGACATCTGTAGTAGATGAATGCCGCGGGTGGGTGCACCGCACCGCACCGTCAGAATGCGGCATACAACACAAGTACGAGGACGAGTACGAGGACGAGCAGGAGTGCGCCAGTACCAGCACATCTATCAGACTACGATTACGCTATTGAATGCAAGTGGCTGGGGGGGATGGGGGTGGTGTGGAGCCTTGGCAGGGAAACGGAAATGGGTGCTGGGTGCTGGGTACGGGTACGAGAGCAGCAGAGGCCTGAACTTGTTTGCCTGCTTCGATTGTTCCGTTTGGAGCGCGTCCTTGATACAGTTCCATTTTGATTTTGGGGATTTTGTGCGAGTACATTGTAAGGGCAGGGTGCAGGGCGCAGGGCGTAGGGCACATGGCGCAGGGCTCTTACAACAGCGAATTTCGAATCAAATTGTTGAGCAAATATTCAACAGAGTAAATATGTTTATGCCGAATCAAGCAATTTCATTTAAACACACTCCACATGCCGAGGCACTTGTCTGTGAATACGAATACTCGGAAGAGCACGACTGTACTTGGCCCCCACCCCCTCATACACATTTCGATAATATATTGTATGTATTGTACAGCGTACATACATACATACATATGTACTATGTGCTCCAAGTGCTGACGGCGGGGCTTGTTGACTAAGCTTCATGTGTGCCGCCTGTTCCAGTGCCATTGCCAGTGCTCGTGTGTCTGTGTGTCTGTCCCCTTCTGCATGAGCCCCAATCGAATTAAAGCAGCGATGCATAGTTTATTAGTTGTGGAGCAACTTGCCCCAAAACAACGAGTGGCCGGCACTCGGCTGGCTGTGGGCGCAAAATGTAAAATGTTTGTCGATGGCTGGCAGCATTTAAGTGCACTTTTGAGGACCGATTTTAGGCAACAACTATCGCATTTAATCCCAATCGACTTGATAGAATCCATCAGGAATGGTTTGACTGGCTAATGGGCAGAGTGGACGCTAACCAGTTGGGTCAGAACATTCATTAAGCACTAATGGAATCCCTCATAACAATGTTAAACCATTCCATTTGTTGCAAATTGCGAATCAGCTGAAACAAAAGCTGAAACAAAAGCTGAAACTGTACCCAAAACAAAAATCGAAGCTATAGATTTATAGGATATCCATAAAAGATAACAATTCCATACTTACTTTACCCATAATTCCATATCATTTAAGAAACTTGTTGCAATTCTGTTCTGTTTTCTCTGTCGTTTATTTAATATTTTTATGTATATTATGTATGTTTATTTCCGAGGCTCTAAAAATAGTTACATGGCTGCACTAGTGTGTGGGTGTAGCTTTTATAACTGTGTATCTAATTTATATACCATCTTCATTAGTATGTATCTCCGTGTCATACGTTTCTTGGTTTCTGGTTTTAATCATTTGAGGATTCGGGGTTTGGTTTTAGTTTAGTTTCTTGTGTGTGTTTTGTTTTGCTATTCGTGTGGCGTTAATTCTTTGTCATACATATTGCGTACTCGTATTTCTTTCCATAGTGGAATCTGTGATTCTTTTGCTTCGTTTCGTTTCATTTCGTTTTGTTTTGTTTCGCTTTGTTATTCTTGTGTATATTAATTTAAGAGTGGATAAGCTTTTTTTGGGGGATATAATAGGTTATATACGCTACATATTAGCCATAAAATCGTATGGTAATGCATGTCGGTTAGTGTGTTTTTTGCTTAAACTGTGTTCAGAGAGTGTGTCAGTGTTTAGGGTGTGTTAGGGTGTAGGGGGTGTTAGGGGTGTTAGGGGGTTTAGGCATAGCTATAGGTATAGGTTTTACAAGTAAGTATAGCGAGCATTGTTGGCTAGTCCCGGTTCATCTAGGTAAAGTCCATTATTTAACTCCTACGAAAGCTGAAACTATTTAATGCTTGTTGCTGGCTGCTTGCTGCTGGCTGCTGGCTTTCCCTAACTAAAAGTTGAACAAGAACAAATGCTAAGTATCAAAAGGAAAAACTGTGGATGCGTGCAACGCGTTAAAGTCACCCCATAGGGGTGTGTGTGTGTTCTCGTGTGTGTTTTGGTAGCTGCATGCATTCTATATGTATTTACTATATACGAGTATTCCTGTACGGCAGGCCGAGCGATATGCTCCCACCTGCCAAGTGGTCATTGGGTACAATTACAATTACAATATCATCATTGAATTGATCTTGCGTTTACGGATACTTGAGGGTTTCCTATGGGGGATTCGGTTTATGTTAAGTTTATGGTTCGCTGTAAGCATATACAATACATATATATATAAATAAGTTAATTACTATGCATACATATGTATGTATGTATGTATGTATGTATGTATGTGTATGGTATGGTATGGTATGTATATATATTTGAGTGAAGTATACAATATATTGCAATTTTAAATGTATATATAACTGTTCAAGTCTTTTTGCATCTCTAATATATGAATATATAAATTAATATCTTTACGTTATTCTTTCACTTCATTTCATTTCTTTTCACTTCTTTTCTTTTCACTTCTCTTCGCTCAGTGTTGTCTGTCGTTTTATAAAATATCTCTCCCTTACCACATCTGCCTCTGGTTCGATTAGCTTCCCTTTATTGTATAATAATCCGAATTGAATTGGTGTCTTTGATCTTGAAATTATTCACTTGTGTGTGTGTGTGTCTGTCTGTCTTTTGTGTGCTTTTGGGAATATCTAAATGAATATTGCAGGAGTGTCCGGGGTATGGGGGTATGTGTGTTATCTAAGGGGTCCAGGGGTCTTCTTGCCACATTACAAAACAAACAAAAAAACAAAGTTTCGGTGTAAAAATACTTTTGTTTTTGTTTCTCCTCGTAATTGTTCACTTTTTTTTTTAAGTTTTTCTCATTTGTTTTTTTTTGTTTTGTTTGTTTCTTGTTTTGTGGTGTATAATGTGTATAAATAAATCTTACTCATAAATAAATCAATTAAACGCTTGCCTCAATATATAATCTATATATATATACTCGTAATTATTTCATATATATATTTTGAATGTAAAATTGCAAATCACATAATTGTTACCACTACTGTTCAATGGAATTTCTTATACATTTTTTTGGTTTTTTGTTGTTGTTGTTTTTGTTGTTTTTCCTTTTTTCATTTTGGGTTTTGTTGTTCTGGTTTGCTTATGTGTATATAGGCATTTAATGCTATTTAAAACGCTATCAATAATCATATCATCAATAAAGCCATGCATAAACACGATCTCTAAACAATGCACATAGCACTCTCTGGTCTAATTCTAATGCTCCTCCGATTTTACGCGGCTGTGTAGACTGCGCGACACACGCGACATGCTACATTCGACATGCGACATATCTACGGATCTACATGTGTATAATAAGTACATGCACGTATGTAGATACGATGTAATAATCATTTTGCTTCATGTTTTTTTTATGTTTTTTTTTTTTTAATCTATATATAAACTGGAGGTGTGTCCTGTCAGTGTGTGTTTGTGTGTGTGTGTATTGTGTGTGCCTGTCCATGTATCTCTGAAGTTGTTGTATTTGTGTGGGCTTGGATCTATAATTAATGTTTTCTTGCTCGTTGTATAATTAAGTTCGAATGGTTTTCAATATTTTGTTGCTATTCTGCCTTTACTATTATTAATTTTCGATATAAAACTGCCTCTTTTTTTAAATATATTTGTTTATATGTATATATATGTGTATATATATGCTTTAAAAAATAACGTCTATCGCGTCCGCCTCGTTTCATCGTTTCTTAAATTAAGAAATAATTTTAATTGACAATTTAATTAAATTGTTTACATTGGTTTTTGTTATTTTTTTTTTGTTTGGTTTTATTTTGTTTGGGTTTCGGTCTGTTGCCCATTTTTGCTTTTTGGTTTCAGAATAAAATCTACGCGTAAAATAAATACATGTTTTTTTTGTGTATATATCAATACTTCTCGATTTTGTTATAGAATTACAAATTTGTTTTTGGGTTTTGCTTCTTGGTTTACTTATGGTTTATCATTAAAAACTATGTCACTTAACTTTGGAATTGCTTTTAGTTATCATTTGTTTTACAAGTGCGTCTTCTACTTCTATCATCATCGCTATCTCGACCTGGCCTCGATTGCCCAAATACTTGTGGAGGCTATCGCTATCTCGCTATCCCCATGGATATCTCTCCCTTGGGATATTGGGCACGGGAGGGGAGGATTGTTCTTGTCTATAAGAATCCTTTGGCTGGGCCAAAGTTGGGGTTGCCTTTGGGCTGGTGACGGGGAAGGGCAGGTGTGGGTCAGGGATCGGGGGATTTGTATAAAATTGTTAATATAATCTTGCATGTATATACAGGAGTTGGTTTGGTTCTAATGCTAGTAATAAAATAACTATACCGTAAGTACTTTGTTGCTGCTGTGTATGAGAATGCCTTAATGGGGTTTGCTTCTCTCATAATCTTTTTTTTTTTTTTTTGGTTTTATTTGTTATTTTTGTATTTATGTATATTATATTTTGAATGTACTTTTTTTGTTTAGTTATGTTTAAGTATTGTCCTTGTGATATGTTTCTAAATTGTTTTCTCATTAATTTTAATCATTTCTAAGTAATTGAAGTAGTTTTTGTTTATCGAGTTAGAGCATAATATGGAAGTAATACCCATCTTAAACTGGGTTAGAGTGTAAAGTTGCCTTAGCAGTTTTTAAAATGGTTCTTCTTCTTTGCCATGTCCTTCGTCCATCGTCCTTCTTCTACATCTTGCTGAGAGTATATTCGACTTTCCAATTGCTAATCTTGATCGTTGAGTACAATATTTAAAAAGAGCCTAAGAGCGAGAGAGATATAGGGAGTTACAGGAAGTGCTATAAGTTCACTAATTGATTAGTTTTCTAGACTTGAAGTGAGCCGTCCGTCCATCTATTTATCTGTTCAACTGTTCAACTGTCCAACTGTCCAAGTGTCCTCCTCGAATGGCGTGTGGCGGGCGTGGGCGTTGGTGTGGTTTTGGTTGGAGAGAGCGAGAGAGTTCTCTTTGAATACAGACTAATACTCGTAATACTCGTGCATCTAGGTATGTATTGCATGGATGCGGTAGGGGTGTGTGTGTATATAAACTCTAGAGCCCTAAAACGATGCCTTAAAGTAGATATTACCAAAAAACATGCAAATTGGTTCTGCTCGCTATGTTATTATACTCGTAGTTCATATAGATCATATGTCATATGTATATATATATATATATAATTTGCCCTTTCTCCTCCTCAGTTTCTGCTTTCCTCCTCCCTTCCATTCTGTATATATGCTTATTTGATCTGTGTATATATAGAATTTCTACTTATGTTCCATAATATTCGTTGTGTCAGATTTTTACTATAAGTTACGTTTTGGATTTCTTTCTTAAACCTTTTGTTTTTTCCTTTTTGTTTCCGTTTGTTTTTGTTTGTTCTCTCTCTTATTCTCCCTTCCGTTTTGCTCGTTTGCCTTTTGTCGGTGTTGCCTTTTTTTGGTTATTTGTTCTTTTGGCTGTTTCAATTCAGTAAAAGTCGCAACTCGGAAAGACTCCGCCCTCCTCCTGCTTGTTCTCTTTCTCGCTCGTCCCGCTATAGTAGCCCGGAAAAGGTCAGATAATAAGTAAGTAGATATATATGTATAATGTATATAACTGTTGAAAACATTCTATTGAGTTGAGATCCATCTTCTATCCGTCCATCCGTCCATCCTTCATATTCCGTCCGAACTACTCTGCTAGTAAGCTGCTAGTTGACTGATTTGAATTATAACCTTCGATTACATTTTTCTTTTTGGGTTTTATCGTTTTTAATTTGATAAGGGTGCTCGAATATTGCTTATAGGGTTCTGGTATAAAGTATCTAATATTAAGGTAAACGAGAGGAGTCTTGTGGCGACCTTCGGCGGCTGCCTAGGTCCCCACAATATCCTGACTAGTCTCATCACTGTCCATTTCCAACTCCAACTCCAACTCCATCGCATCGCTGACGGCCGCCTAAGCCACTTCAATATCCTGACTAGTCTCATCGCTGTCCAGCTCATCGCCATCGAACTCGTCCTGATCGTGCTCATGCTTTCCCATCATCTCATCCTCGTCCTCCAGATCGCAGTCGTAGTCATCGTCCTTGCCCTGCCCTATGGCGCCTGCATCCCTGAGGCAGGCCGACTCCAGGTGCTTGTTCAGATACGACTTGAGCGCGAACGTCTTGTTGCAGCGGTGACACTTGAAGTTCTTGTCGCCAGAGTGCGTCTGCATGTGGGCGCGGAGGTTGGAGCGGTCCGCGAACGCCTTGCCGCAATGGACACAGGCATAGGGCTTCTCGCCGGTGTGGGAGCGCAGATGGCCCTGGAGCAGCCAGGGGCGCGAGAAGAGCTTGCCGCAGATGTCGCAGCTGTGCGAGAGTTTGTGCGTTAGTAGGTGCATGGCCAGGGCCGGCATGGACACGTACGCCTTGCCGCAGGTATTGCACTTCTTGGCCGATTGCGAGTCCAGGGAGCGGTGCGTCTGCTTGTGGCGCGACAGGTTGCTGGAGGTGGCATACTGCTTGCCGCACTCGGAGCACTTGTAGCATCCGCGCTTGCGCTTGGCATAGTTCTCCCCATTGCCACTGGATCCGGCTGCGGCTCCGGCTCCGGCTGCAGCTGCCACATCGGCAATCGTCGCTGCACGTCCGCCTGCGACACTGCTTCCTGCGCCGCCCGAGCCATTGGAGCTGCTGGAGCTCTTTGGACGCTGGTGCAGCTGCTCCCGGTCCTTGCCAGCCGCCGCCTTGCTGGCCTTCGTGCGCCCGTCCATCATGTTGAGGCACATTTTCAGGGCCGAGGCCCGCTGCTGCTGCGGCGGCTGGTGCGGCTGCTTGCCCCAGTGCATCTGGCCGGATTCGGACGAGGAAGACATATCAATGTCCACATCCGAGCTGTGATCGGAGTTGGGCGGCGTCAGTGGCGAGCAGTTGTTGGAGGCCTCGGGCGCGCCGTTCATCATGTCGTAGGAACTGCTGCCGATGAACCGGATGTTCGACTGCGAAGACGTGGCCAGCGACTTGTTGGAAGCGTTCGAGATCTCCTGCATAATCGGCAGGTGCTCCGCCGACGACTTGTGGTGCTCCTGCTCCTGCTTCATGATGGTCACCACGCAGGGCGGTATGAGCGGCGGCAGGCTCTGGGACAGCGACAGCAGATCGTGGGCGGCCTCCGTCTCCTCAGCGCTGCGTCCGCGGTAAATCGATGCGGCCGTGGCCGTGGCCGCTGCGGAGGCATTCGCCGCCACTTGTTGCTCCCGCTGGCGCTTCACGGACATTGGCTCCGGCTGGCGCGCAGCCCCACAGGCACTGGCTGGCGGTGCATAGAAGATCACCTTTCCGTCCTCGGCCGGGGCCCGCCCGACGGCCACTGGACGGCGCACCGACACTGTGGATTGTGGGAAAATATGTTATTGCAGGAGGCCGCACCGTACAAATTTACCGAAAATCTCAACCAACAATCCAAGGGCTCCGTTTGGGGCTCCGCCCACACCATATACGTTTCAGAAAACATGTTCAAAGGGATTTAAGGCTGGAACTAGCAAAAACGTTGCAGAAAGTAGAGTTGCCTGGAGAAAGGCATTTCTGGGAAATGTCACCTGCAGCACATGGCTGCAGCTAGAAAGCACTACCAGCTTCCGGCCGAACAGTGTTGGCAAACGCACTGTTGAAACAATCGACTCTGACGTTTCTCAACACAACAGTGCACTTAATTGAGCAAAATAAACCTTTGTATGAATATTATTAAATGTTAATTCCCACGCTTTGGCATGAAATTCAATAAACAATGATCGTCGCAAAAAGAGATCGTCAGTGGCAGCGCGCAGCGGGTGCAATGAGGTATCGCTATCCGTCTCTTTTCCGCGCACGTGTGAGTTGGGAGAATGGGATAAATGCGAAAAGAAGAAGCGGCGAATCTCTCTCTCTGTCCCTCTCTATCCTATCGCTTTTAAGCACATGCAAATCTACATTTGATTTGCTTTGTTTTGTGCGTGCGTGTGTGTGTGTGTAGGACGTAAAGAGGAATATCAAGAAGAAGAGTGATCAGCTGACGCAATATTTTCACATTAAGCTGCGGCTGCTTGTGCAGCGGTTGACCTGTTACGTTTACAGTTTCTCAATCGATAAGACGACGACGCGACCGACCTCCTCTTCTAGCCTCCTTCTGCCACTGCCACTCCCCCTCCCCCTCCCATTTCCTATACATACTCGTACTGGCAGTCAATGCCGCCGCAGCTTGTTCGCTTTCGTGTTTGCATTTGCTTCTTCTTTTTCTTCTGTTCTCCTTCTTCTGCTGCTGCTTCTGCTGCTTCTTCTTCTTTGCCTTTGTCAAGAGCAACAAGCAGCAGCGAAAGCAACAGCAACAGCAACTACAACAGCTACAAGTAGGCAATGGAGAAGCAAGAAAGTGTGGGGAGGGAGAAGGGTGGGCCAAAGGGGGCCAAAAGCGAACGCAAACATGGAAAATGCCAACATACGCTAAAAAGATTAGCTAACGGCGACAATGTCAAACACGAGCGCATATCGAAGAGGGGAGCTGCGGGCGAAGGGGAAAAGGGCACAGGGCACGGGGCCCACAGTGAAGGACGAGGAGCGACGGCCAGTGGCCAAAGTGGTGGGGTGGGTGGGGTGCTGGGTCATAAAATGGTTGAAAGTGCTTCTTGGTTGGGGCGCAGAGTGGGCAAGAGTGAGGCGAAACCTGGCTACTAAAAATAAATACGAGTACACAAATTGTCGCAGCCACCTGTTCACATTGTTGTGACGCAACTTTCCAAGGGGGGTGGTAGGGGGAAAGGAAATAGAAAGGGCAGCTTGCCACCAGAAGAAAGGAAGGCAGGCAGGCCACCAGAGCAGGGGGAGCCCCACTAGGGGAAGTCCATAAATGGAACAATGAATGGCTTGGCGACCGCTAGACGGAAGAGGGAAAGGTAAAGTGGAAACGCTGGGGCAACCATTGGACCAGTGGCAGGAGCATGGGCATGGACAGGGGCATGGGCAGGGGCATGAGACCGTGGCAGGAAGGACTAAAGGAACACGGAAACGGAAACCGAAAAGTGGTCAACTGTTGCACACATACCTGAGGCGGAGACTGTGGCTGCCGCTGCGGTTCCTGTGGTGCCAGCAGCACCTCCCAATGACGCCCCTCCCAGGCGACGCTGTTTCTCCTGCTTGGAGGAGGTCATCTGCACCAGGGACTGGGCGGCGGACCACTCCAGGTGCTCGCACAGCTGTTCGTCGCCGGCGGTTGCCTCCCTCCGATCCTCCTCGTCCTCCAGCTCGATAACCTCACGCTTCAGCAGGGATCTGGAGGAGCGTTTGGCCAGCGACTTGAGCGACGACTTGCTCCCATTTCCATTTCCATTTCCACTTGCGTGTGCATTCCCATTGGCATTACGCAGCACCGAGGAGGAGGACCTGTCCTCCAGCCTCAGTTTGCTGCCGTTTCTCGGCTTCGGTCGCCGCCAGCTCTGCAGCTCGCTGCTGCTGCTGCTTCCGGATCCGGATCCGGTCGAGGCGGATGATGCCGTCGCGGCATACTTTCTGCTGGCACTCGCATAGGCAATCGTTTGTATCTTGTTCCGATTGGGCAGTATAAAGTCCACAGACATGGTGGTGCCTGCTCTGCTCTGCTCTCTCCTTGTGGGTCGATTCCGACTCTGACTTCTGACTCCGTCACCGTCTTCGTCTCCGTTGCCGTGTCCGCTCCCCAAGTCTGCCGGCAGTTGCCAGTTTGGCCGCCTGGCGGATCAAATCTTTTGAATTGCCTGTGAACCAGACACCGAGGAACCCACACTTTGGGGTCGGTCTGCACTTTTAGTGTGTTTGCGTTTCGGATTCGGTTTCCTTTGTGGGGCTTGTGGGGATGGATGGGATCCTCCGGCTGCTCGTGACGCCCGTTTCTGTTTCTTATGTTTTAAATTTGTTTTGTATTTACTATGTAGATGTAGCACAACCTTCTTTGACATCGACTCCAGCGTCGTCTGCAGTAAAATGCTTTAGCTTTGCTCCTTGTTCTCGTACTCCTACTCGTACTCGTACTCCTCTTCCAACTAGTTATGCTTCAACTTTGACATTGACATGAGTTGCCTTGAGAGTAGCGCTGCTCCGGCTTTAGTTATAGCTTCAGTTCCAGGACCTGCTCCTGCTCCTGCTGCAGCTGCTTGCTCTGCTTGCTCTTTGGTGTTGTTGGAATCGTGTCCTTTAGCGTGCCGGCTGCGACTGGCGGGCATCCTCGACAGCCTCCTTGCCTCCCCTGTAGCCTTTCTCGCAGCCTTCTTATATAACTTTGCTGTTGTTAGCTTGGCTCTGAGCGCTCGCTGGCCTGGCCGAAACTCACTTTGCCACAATTGAAGGTATTTTGCGTTCGTTGTTGCGTTGCCGTTGCCGTTACAATCAAGGTTCTGCAAGGAGTAGACATGAATGTAAATTATATTGGATTTACTCACTGGCAGGACTCTAGACAAAGACAAAGACACAGCAGCAGCCCCCATTTCATTTACTTGCAAATATAAGTACGAATATTCGTTGCAGATTCCCCAAAGGGACAAATAAGCAGAGGAAGGAATAAGTTTGGAAATAATAAGGAAGAAAATATCTTCATGGGATATGTATTAAATAAACATACACACATATGTATACAATATATATGTGATACAACAATGATGCACAGTTTCCTCAGACAAAAAAAATATAAATGGATAGGAAATTGTTGGAGCTTTGAGCATCTTCAATTGCAGTCGCCAAAGACCATGAGGTAAAGGTAAAAACTAAGTAAAAACTAACGATGTAGTTACTCGCTTAATCATCTGCTTTAGATGTTTCCTCTTACAGGTTTTCATCTATCGTAAAATAATCCATAGTCCATGCAAATTCCACGATTATTGGTTGTTCTACTACCCTTTAAGCCGCCACTCACTGGAATTCCCACTTAAATTTAAGGTAAATAATCTGTTAACTATGCAGCAAACACTCCGCCACTTTCCACCGAACAGCAACAGCAACAACAAAAAAATAGGTGCACTCCTCGTAAAATTGCATAATTTAAATGCCGATTTGCGAGTGAAAATTGTAAACAAGTTCCTGCGGTGGTTGGCAGCCATAATATTTACATTATAAATGCAGAAACCGCCGTGCAATCAGCGCCAACCCAAACCGACGCACAAGACACCACACGGCCGTGGCAGGGAGCGGGATACTGCATTGGGGGCGTTGTGTTGGCGTGCCACAAGGGCATGGTGGCATGGGGGCATGGGGCAGAGGGGATCGGCGATTTGCAACACTTGATTACACTTAATTGATAAATTGTTATACTTTTTGCACTAAATTGCATGGGCTATACGTGGGTTGGCAGTACCAGTACCAGAGCCAGTGCCACTGCCAGTACGTTTTCCACGCAGAAAGGAGCGAGAGGACGGGCTCCCTTCCAAAGTTACTTCCACATCCAATGGAAGGCGCACACGCACGCACGGACACGAATATGAATACGAATACGAATACGGACACGGACACGAAACTATCTATCCCTATCCCACTTTTAAAAATGGCGCATACACTCGTTGCCATTGTTTAGGAAATGCAGAGAAGAGACGACAATTGCAGTTCCGACTCTGACTCTGACTCGGACTGGGACTGGGACTCGGATTGGACTCGGATCCTGATACCGATTCCGATTCAGATTGGAAAGGAATCCCATTCATGGTATGGATTGTTCTGCATCTCTGCATCGAACACACACACTTTTTGCTCACTTTTCTGTTTGCAGCTATCACATGTTGGCAAATTGTTTATTTTCCACCGAATTGGATTGATTTTGTTGCGGATTATTGAATATATAACTTAATTTTTCGCCTGTTCGTTGTTTGGCTGCTCGCTTCAGCAACAACAACTTGTTTCACTCTGCACTTGTCGAATGTTTTGTGAATTGAAATCGACTGAGAGACGAACGAGCGAAGAGAGAGAGTGAGAGAGAGGGTGAGAGCTCGGCTCGGAAGAGCGCACTCGCTGGTGCTCGCAGCGAGTGGCGAGTGTGGTGCGAGTACATGCAACAAATAGTCAACTGTTGGTTGCCTTGCCTTAGCCTACCTCACTGTCGTCTCCACCAGCACACACACACACCCCTAACCCGTGTACACTCTCTCACTCTCTCTCTCTCTCTGTCTGTCTCTTTCGCTCCCTCTCTGCCACTCTCTCTGTTTCCAGGCTTGCACATAAACAATGCGAGATTTTATTGCATACTTTGCAGCAACCGCTGCCGCTGCCACTGCCACTGCAACGAGTGAGTGTCGACATCGCAGTTTATATACACACACAAACGCACGGGGGCCAGGGGACACCGAAAGGAACCCAATCTCGAGGCTCACACACAGCACACACACACAGATAAACATCACTTTGTTGCATACCTCATAGCTCACATGCAACACGAAACATCTGAGGATGGCCAAATCAATTCATGCATAAATTAATGGTAATGGGCAGAAATGCTACACATGCTCGGCTCTAAAAGGGGATACATATGCAATAGATATATCATATAGGGGGAATCTAGTTATAGAATTGTATACTATATGAACTCTCTCTCGTACTCGCTCTGATTTGTTGGCCAGCTATTTTCCTTAGCTTGTTTTTCTCAGCCCGTTTCACAGTTTTTTTTTCTTCTTCGTCGCTTTTCTCTTATAGATTTTTTGCACTTTCTCACGTAATTTGTTTTGCTCGGCTTGGACTTGATTTCACGTAATGTTTTATGTATTTTACAGTTTATATTATTATTATTATGAGTACTATTTAACTATGGACTTGTTTCCTCTTGCGCAGTGTGGCTGCCGCTGTGCGTCAGTTTTTGACGTACCACTCCCTTCTACTGTGCGCTTCGTATTCGCAGCTTTCGGTTGTTTCGCCGTTGCCCGTTGCCTTTGCCGTTGCCGTTGCCGCTCCCGTCACATCACCACTGCATGTGTATTGTGTGTGTATCTGTGTGTGTGTAATTTACAGCGAGTGTGCGTGATTTCGGGTCAGCAGCAGCAGCACTGGCACTGGCAGCAACAGCAACAGCACCAAATCCAACACCAACACACCACCCTGATGGTGGGACGGGGTTGTTTGTTGCCTCGTAACTATGATCATCCCACCGAAGGGTTGACCGTGGTGGGTGTTTGCCTCTACATATAGCTGACAGTTGAGCGAAAGATGTGTCTTTACTTTCAGCTATTGATATGACTGCTCTGATTTATCAGATACCGATCGATAGGTAGAGTGCCATTTGATGGATGATTGCCCCACACATAGAGATACAACAAGTAGCCAGCCAGCCCCCATTCGGGCGCCCACATTCAACAACCCCAAATCGGAGAGAGCCAGAGAGCCAGAGACAGATATGTGATGTCTGATCTACGCCTGCGCTGCTGCTCTTGTTTTGGCCATGCCACTCGCATTTCTCGGCCCAAAACAAACGAGTAAACCACTCACACACACACACACACGGACACACTGAGAGACAGGGACAGAGGCTGGCACGGACTCGTGCCAGGCAAATCCACACACACTTGTGGATTGCCGAAAATTATGCAACAGCACCGCAAGGAGCAGGAGCAGGAGCAGAATCAGCAGCAGGAGTGGGCACAGGAGTAGAGCCAGAAGCAGGACCACTCTGGGGGTTGGAACGCCGGCCGACTAAAAGGGAAGGCAGAAGGAAGCGAAGCCCGTCCAAGCCGGGGGTGTGTTTTGATGTCTGCCACTTGGCTGCCCGGCTGCTGGCCCGGCCGCCCGGCCGCCTGGCTGCCTGGCTGCCAGAATTGGCACGGCGCTGGGCTAAAAATACCAAACGGATCCTGAGCCTGGAAATCTGCATGGCAGCGGGGTCCAGGCCAAGCATTTGGATATAAATTATGAGCCTCAACTAAGCGCCGCTCAAGTAGTAGGCATTTAATTTGGTATTGTTTTCATTCCTTGGGTTTGGTTTGGTGTATTTGAGCAACTATTTCTGGGGAATGTCCCCCCAGCATAGTTGGGGCTGACCAGGGAACTGACAACGAAACTTGCTCCTTGTTGTCCTTTTTAACGTTTTGAGGTTTTGGGTTTATTTCGTTACGTTTCGTTTCGTTTGGTTTCCTTTGGTTTTTGGTTCGAATGAGGACTGTGGACTGTGGACTGAGCACTGGTTCTGGGGTTTGTTTGCACAGCCCCAAAAACCGAATCGAAAAGGGGCACACACACACACACACACAGCAACAAGGACTTCATGGCCCGTGGCCCATTATTGCCCCCCTTCGGCCAAGTCCCTTGCGGTTACATTTATTTTTTTTTTTTTTTGGTGAGCCTCTGCCTCTGCTGTTGCTGCTGCCACGGCTGCCACTGCTGCCCGTGTTGACTCTGCTGCTGCGTTGACATCAGCGCTTCCGCTGCGGGCTTCCTTATTATTCCTGTCACTAAGCCGCCCTTTAAATTCGCAATGAATGCCAAACAGCGAAACAGTTAAATGCTTTTTTTTCCATTTCGTATTTTGTGGTGCCTCTGTTGTTCGAGCCACGGAAGTGCAACACCAACGAACCCGGCAACGAATCCACCAAAACCAGACCGGAAGAACGGGGACGGGAAAGGGAACAGGAACGGGGTCGGTGGCTCTGGTGTTGGGAATGGAAACAACCGCAAGGTTACCCCCAGCCCAGCCGAAAAGGGGTTGCTGTTGCTGTTGCCGTTGTCCTGATGTCCTGCCGCGCGACGGGCTGCCTTCGCGGTTACATTGACCCTTTTTCCACGGCCATAGGCTTTTCTTTCGTCAACGCTAATGGAGCTTAAAAAGTTGTCAAAGCGTCGCGGGATTTATATTTTAATTTCAAAGTGACAAAATAGAAAATGAAATGGAGCAGGAGGCAGTAAGCAGGGAATGGGAGGGGAGGGGGTCTGTGAATAGAACCCCGAAGGTGGGTGGACTCATCAAAAAGGCTCCAAACAAGGCATCAAATCAACAGAGTTCTGCCCATCACAAATCAGACGCGAATCGTCGACAGCCAACGGAAGGAGTGGACAGACACAGACACGGACACAGACAATGGTATGGGTGTGGGTGTGGGTGTGGGTGTGAGTGAGTGTGTAAAGTGGAGTCTATTCGTGGCAATCGTGGGTCCTGTTGCCGGTCCTGGCCATCGCATTTATTGCCATATGCTGACAGTGTTGCTCGCGGGCAGTCAGTCGCGGCGATGGGGGCCAATTTGAGCTGTCATAAAAATGTACAACAACTGGCTACAAAGCAAACAATGCGACGAGTGCCAACAGCAACATCTGAGGCAGCAGCAACAGCAACATCTGAGGCAGCAGCAGCAACAACAGCAATGGCCGCATTCAGCAATTGTGCAAACAAATTGCTGTTGCACTTTACTTTTATTTTACGAGTGCGAATGCCAGAGCTTTCTTCTTTCCATTTTTGCTTGTTGCCTCAGTTTTTTTTTTTTTGTGCCATCCTGCCCAACGCTGGTTGACGGACCAAAGGAGTCCTGGCGTGTCCTGGTGCTCCCATCCGACATCCGCCATCCACCATCCACCATCCAACAATCCGCCTGCTGCCCAATTTGCATTTTACTATCGTTGCAGGTTTTTATAGTTGTTGCTTTTGCATTTGGCGATGTCGTTGTTGCTCTTACTTTTTGATGCCTCACTCTGTTTCTGGTTCTGGTTCTGGTGTTCTGCTTTGAGGTCTGTTTCGGGGTCCTTTTCCTGGTCCTGGTCCTGGTTTTATTTGCGCGCCGCAATTTCCCATCCGCCCGATCCAGCTCCTCCACATCCACAAACCATATCCTTCTTTTTGTGCAGCTCTCGCTCTGGTCATAAAGTTTACTTAACATGCCGCTGACGCTTTACTTTCTTCTGCTTGTTTTTTACATCTTTGCTCTGCGAAGCTGTTAGATTTCGGATTGCAAAAGTCAAGCTTCTTACCAGATGGAGACAAACACAGACAGATTCGGATTCGGACGCAGACACAGACACAGACACAGAGAGACACCGAGACAGAGCATATGCTGTGGAAAATCACCGAGCGACTCGCTCGCCTCTGCTGATTTGTTGTGTGTAATGGCTCGCCATCAATTATATCAATTTCTGGGCAGAGAACTTGGAGTAAACAACACCACTTCAATGGCGGCTACTCAACTTGATTAGTTTGATCAAGAGGTATGTCCAGTTCTGGTTATATTCTGGTTGCATTTATTGCACAAACTGTGGCCCACAGCCTTGGAGTAGCCATTTGTGGTATGGTTTCTGTGTTGGCTGTGGTTTCGATTGCATTTGAAGTTTTTTTCTGGATAAGTTTTACTGATTGAATGGAGGCTAGACGTGACTCAAACAGCATTCAGGCATCAAGGATATCGTGATTGGGGTATTATCGTTCATAAATCAATTATCCACTGTACTGCATTAAACTATGCACCATTCTACAGTGAAAGAGAACAAAGTTTAGGTAGCAGAAACATCTTGAATGCGAAGCTAAAGATTCAAGATTAAAAGGTGAACATAAGAGCAACATTTGGACGGATTAGAAGCATATTCCACTCATCCGTAATATAGATATTTCTAGATTCAGAATACCATAAATCTAAACCCAAACTTCCACTGAGATATCGTATCAAAATCCATTCAAAATGAGCTACCAACAGCCTGCCTAATCCATAGCCCATCAAATGCCATTTTAATACAGCAAAAGTTGAGTAAAATATAAACAATTTCCCCCCATATCCCACTCCCACACCCAATCCAAGGCCCAGCAGTCAGTTGCAAAGGTGGAAATTTATTCAAAGAGCTATTCAATCGCGATCCCACTAAGCTCACAAGGTGCTTTACTCCGGTTAGGTGTTCACTTTCCAAGCGATTTACGAGTCTGCCGTAGAGCAAAGCAGAGTGGAGTGGAATCCTTTGGGTCGGTCGGGTGCCATCCAGTATCCAGTATCCAGTATCCAGGCCATCCATCCCTTGCACTTTTTGCGCAGAAAACATTTTACAACATTTGTATTTATTTGGCGTCATGAGTTTAAGATGTTGTTGATATATGTTTACCGTCGTGCGACACACACACGGGGAACACACAGGGACACACGTGGCAAGTAGCAAGTGGCAAGCGGCAACTGGCAACTGGCAACTGCTGCAGCTACACATAAGTAAATTAGGATTTATGCTTTGTTCTATTTGAGCGCTGGAAAGCCATAAACGATTTTTTATGCACAGCCACTTGGCTGGAGAGGGTTCCCGTGCCACCGTCCCCGCCTGCCACCCCCTTGGAGCAGCAGTTCGCACCTTTTTCCCAGCCGAATACGATTTACGACCCCATGCATGTGAGAACGTAAAATTGTTATAAATTTGCATGTGCAGACGGAGCAGACGGAGCAGCCAAGCAGCCAAGTAGGAAGTGTCTGGGAAGGAGTAAAGCAGCAATAAACCCAACTTACGGCCAAGATCAATCGCAGCGGCTTGTGCAAGTTAATGGCACATGAAACTGAACAACAGAGCAGCAGACACACACTCCAGGAATCTAGGAGCTAAGAGCAGGAAATACGAAGGAATAGCTGACTGACAAAAGGAGCAGAACTCTTCAGGCATCGGAGGCTGGGAAGAACTGGGAATCACTGGCTGACAATGGAGCGGGGCTCGCTGGGAGAGGAGCCCGTCTCCAAGTGAGCGTAATTAATGCGCGCAAATTTATCAAGCTGCATTAGGGCAATGAATGAAACCTGTAACTCATTTTGTCACCGAAAGCAAACAACAGAATGCGATGTAAACTGTTGCTAAGCCTGCCCCGGCATCGCGTGTGCATATGTCTCCGGGAATGACAGCAGCGAAAAAGTTTTTCCCCAGTTTTACACAGCTTTCCCTTT